TCACCTGCATGCAACACCCACTCCACAGCCACACACCCAGCTCACCACCAACCCAATTCACATCACATCATACACACACATTGTGTTGACTGCACTGCAACCATCCACAACCATCCACCACCAGCAGCAGCATCACACGATACACACGGCTGCACATGCGTGTTGCATTGTATATTTCCATTCCACTTCAGCAACACGACAGCAAGCGAACACACACGCACACATACACACATACACGTGGCAAGAACAAGCGAGAAAACATCCCCATATCAACTGCAAGCAACACACACACACACGGCAAGCGACAGCTCCATGCAGCGTCACACCGCTTCACTCCCCCATCAACCGCCATCATTGCCTTCAGCCAACAAAAACAACAACAGCAGCAGCAGCAGTGTGCATGCTGTGGCAAGAGAGAAGAGAGAGAGAACAGAGAAAGGGAAAGGGAGGGAGGAAGGAAGAAGCATACAAGGAGAGAGACGTGCACGCTGTCAAGAACAACACGACACAACACAACACAATCAACGCCACCCGCTCACGCTCCCCTCCTTCTCCAACGAGGTGCGTGGTCAATGGCAGCCCCACGTCTTGCTTGCTTGTCCTGTGTCCATGCTTGCTCGTGTGTCCTTGCTTGGTTGTGCGTGCCTTGCCATGGGTTCCAACAAACAGCCTGCACTTCCCCCTGCACAGGCGTCCATGTGTTTGTGTGCATGTGCGTGTGAGGATGACAAAGAGGGAAGAGGGAAGGGAGCAGAAGAAGAAGAAAGGGAGATGGGGCGGTGCGTGAGCACAGATGATGGTGATGGGCACATACGACGTGGTTGTGGTGAACACACACAGAGACACAGCGAAGCAGCAGCGCACAGCAGACACAACAGACACAAACAGGGGGGAACAAGAGCAAGCAGTAGCGCAACACACACACACACACACACGCACCAAGGGAAGGACATCAGCCAGCCAGCATCATCCAGCACGCCATGCATTCACTGGTTCCATCCATGCACTAGCGGTGGTGGCAGCAGGAGAGGGAGAGGGGGAGAGGGAGAGGGAGAGAGAAGTGAATGCCCTGCTGTGCTTGCCTGTCTTGTCTGTGTGGGCATGTGTGTCTGCACACTCACTCACTGTGTGTGTCTGTGCGTGTCACCATCCATACACACACGCACGTGTGTGAGACAGAGGGAAGCAAGCAGCCACAACACACACACATACACACAGTGTGAATCACAAGCAGACACAGCATGAACGACATGCACGCAGTCACAGTCACACGCACATGCAAGTGCAACGCACCGTGAGGTAGGCATCAGACTGCCTGTCAGCGTGTGTATGTGTGTGTGTGTTCACACACATGTGTGTGCGGGTCGATGCAGTCCATCATCCCTTTCTGTCTGCGAGGGCCAAATGCATCCACAGCAGCAGGGAGTGCGTGAGATCACAACACACAGCCACGTCCCACCTCTCCCTCCTTCACACACAATCACACACACACACAGCAGTCAAACGAATTGACAGAACTCACCCAAACTCACAGTGCCAGCGTGCCATGGGCCTGTGCAGCACATATGTCAGCCTCACCGACCATGGGCAAGGCCTTGCATGCCTTTGGCCGTGCACACATCCATGGTGTGGGCAGTGCTGTGCGTGTTCTCTGCTTGCACCTGCGCACCATCACACCATCATCCAGCACACCCCACACAATCCACGGAACCAAACGAAACCACCCACAACAGAACCGCCCGTGAGTGCCCGTCACAACGCGCACCCTCTCCCTCCTCTCCACCAACCCTGCGTCAGCCACGCACACGAACAACGCAAGCCACCCCCTCCACTCAAACACACAACACACGCACCTTCTTGCTTGCTGCTTGTTGCTTGTTTGTGTTTGGTCTTGTTGGTTCGTGTCTGGGCGATTTGTGGAAGATGCCACAAATAATCGCCCACTGCTGCGTTTGTGCGGCAACTGCTGTTTGCTTGTTTGTTGCAGGGCGGACTTGCTTGGTTGCTTGCTTGGTTGGTTGGTTGGTTTCGATGAGACAAGAAGAAGAAGAAGCAGAAGAAGAAGGGGAACAGCACTGTGTGTGAATGCAACGCAGGCTCACAGGCCTTGCAGGCTGAGGAGGGGAGAAGAGAAGGGGGAGAAGAGAGGGGGGATGGAAAAAGAAGACACAAACACACACACAATTGTGGACAGCATGCATCCCCTCTCCTCTTCTCCGCTTCCTCTCCCTCCTTCTCCTCACAGTCACAACAGACAACCAACAGCCACAAAGGGATGGAAGAGAAAACAAACAAGGGGAGGCGGCAACAGCCGCCCAGCCAGATCGCCATGGAAGGAAGGGGCGAGGCGATGGAGGGGGGAAGGAGAACACCGTCCATCAACACACACACGCACACACATCTGTTGGGAGCCCCACGTCTTCTGTCCTTGCTTCCCCTCCTCCCTTTCCTTGGCCTGGGATGGGTTGGGTTGGTTGAGGTGGCACAGCTCGCCATGGCGTGTCCATGCGTGGATATGGGTGTTGGACGTGGATGGGTTCCTCTCTGCGTGTGTGAAAAGGAAGTGGAGGGAAACAGTGGAAGGGGTGGCAGCAGCAGGGAGGAGGAAGAAGGAGAAGAAGCAAGGGAAGGGCGGTGGATGTGAGCATGTCATGCGTGAGTCGACGACAACGACACATGGGCGTGCAATGGTGATGATGTGTGCTTGGTGTTGTGCGTTGTCTGATGGCACAAGGACACAAAGGTCAACCACACACGCAATCACACACACCTCGTCGTCGATCAACGCATCTGCCCGACATATGCGCACACGCACATCTGCAGTCACACACACACACACACAGTCAGACATGGCATTGCAGAGTGAGACGGTGCACCATGCACACGCATACACAGCAATGCAACCACAACCACCACAACGACAACGACAATGACAGCATCTCTCCCCATCTCCATCCCCCAAATGCACGGTCACATGACCAGGTGCACAGCCGTGGTGGTGATGGTGGCCATGATGAACGCCTTCCTCCCCACTTCCCTTCAACCCCCTTCCACCAAACACACGCACACACACACAGCATTGCGTGCCCTCACCTCGTGCATCGTGTCGCTGTCGGTGTGGTTGATGGCGATGCACACGCACACACGCACACACGGCCGTGTGTGTTCCCAGTTGAAATGAGCAACGGAGAGAGAAGTGGGCGACACGACACGACGGCCAGTCTACCCCAGCCAATCCAATCCGGCATCCACCGCCGTGTGTTGCCTGCTGCAGTCATCATTACAACCACACAATCACAAGCACACAGGTGCAAGCAAAAGGAATGAGCCACTGATATGTGTGTCACTGTCCTGTGATACCACCATCACACGATTCACGTGCACGTGCACACGCACCCCTCATCCCCCAACCAACATCATCGCCCTCCCATCACTTCCCCTCACCTCCCTCCTTTCGCTCTGCACTCCCACGTCGCCCAATCACCACCATCACCGTGTCACTTCCCTGCTTCCCCTGCCTCCCACCACTCCACACAACACAGCCCACCAACCAATCAACCGCCAACGATCATCCTCACCTGTGCTTGATGTAGCCAGCCAGCCAGCCAATGTGCCACAGCGAAGCCAGAACGAGGCGAGCGCAATCACGTGCCACGGCCACCATCGTCATCGCTGATGGAGCAGAAAGAGGACGAAGGGGGAAGAGTGGTGGGCACGGGCCGTGTCCTTCCTTGTCTTCATCGGTGCAGCCCCAAACACCGTGCACAGCACACAGGCACACGCACGGCCATCATCACAGCAGCAGCACCAGCAGCAGCGAGCCAGCCTGCCCTGCGTGCCTGTGAAGCAAGGAGAAACCAACCAGAGACGAACAACAATGACCGGTGATGTTGAGGACGGGAAAGGTGGGACACAAGGGACCACGCATGGGAATATGCAGCATGTTGTGGGCGGGGTGCATCACCTACACACAAGAACAACGAAGCAAGCACCCAACAAGCAAGCAAGCAAGCACAAAACACCACCACATGCACCACATCCACCATTGCTGCAATACCTGTGTTGGCCGCTGTCTCGAGCACGCCTCAACAGCGCCACATCACATGGGGAAGGCTGATGATGATGATAACACAGAGCAAAGGCAATTGGTTGGGACAAGGGGAAGGGGATTCGGTTGGGGAAACCCTGCACACACCCGCCTGCACACACGCACACATGCACATTTGGGTTGTGTGATTGATTCATGTGAGACACACGTCAGTGCAACCACCCACAGCCAATGTCTGCTCTGGCGTATTGGCATACATGTGTACATGCGTGCGTGCGTATGTGTACTACCACCCCATCACCACACACACACACACACAGCCCCAGTGTCTCACCTGGTGCCTTCTTTTCTCGCACATTTGTGTGTGCGTGTATCGCCCTGCTCGTGTCATGAGGGCTTGGGAAGAGAACGGCCACCGTGCTGTGCAAAATCGCACACATGTACACATGCGCAAGCACAAACAACCAAAACAGCAAGAATGACATGACGCAGTGAGCCAGCATGGCAGAAACAAACAACATCCACCTCCTCTGCCACATTCACATCTTCCACATCATCACCTGTGCACGCACATGTCACATGTCCACAGACACACCACCACGATCACAAGCAGCACACCTGCGCATGCGTGTGTGCGTGCGCCGTCCACATCCACCACAAACCACTCACCACCGTCATCATCGTCGTCATGCGAGGCAACAGCACATCGACGCACATCACACCCTGTACGTGTGTGCGTGTGGAGAAAGAGGTGAGTTGTCACAGAATCCGGCTTTCAACGACAACAACATCCATTGCCACCACCAACAGACCCAACGACATCCACCCGAGCCTTCACAATCAACCACACACATACATGCTGATGTTCACACCCAACACATCACACACCCACATCATCACCACAACCACCGCCATTCATCTCACCTCCACATCCATGGCCGCAGCCGCTGCTGTTGGGGACCAGTGACGACGACGAGGGAGGTGGAGATCGACGATAGACAGATGGCCCGTTCATCCACAATGCAGCCACACATCAGCTGTTGCTGGTGTTGCTGGTGGTGGAAACGGTGAAAAAAACGGCCCCTTGCCACGCCGTGTCCTTTGCTCGCTCGCTTGGCTGCTTGGTCGGTTGGTTGGATGGAAGCGGGATGCATGACCCTGTGTCCAAATCAATCGAAAAAAAAGGGGGAAAAAGAAAGACACATGAGTGGACAGAACAGACAAGGAAAGAGGAAGGAGAAGAATGAAACACAACATGTCAACCACACACACACACACATCTCAGTCGCCCTCTCACCTTCATCACTCGTCATCGTCATCGTCGTTGGTTCCACCGCTTCATACGCCTCTTCAACGCTGCGAATTGTGTGTGCACGCACACAAGATGGGAGAGAATGCAGGGGGATGAGGTTGACAGCGAAGCATCATCAACCACACGCCAGCCCCATCCAACCACCACAACCACACGCACACATGTTGTTCCCGCTCACCACCACCCACACACACACACACATTGCTCACCTCTTCATGAGAACGACTGACATGTGCAATGTCTGCCTCACGCCAGATTGGGGCTGGTGTCGGCCGGAGTGTGATGGCGGCTGTGCGGTCGATGGCGATGATGATGGCGGTGATGGCGGTGACAGTGGAGCTGAGGTGGAAGAGAGAAAAAGGAGAGAGAAATGGGGGAAGGGTTGATGATGATGATGCGTGGTTCATGGTGGCTGCTTTCTCCTCCTCTGATGTGGCCCTGGTACCCATGCAACCAACGCACAACGACAAGACACAACGACATCATCACACACGAGGTACGGGTATGGCATGTGAGCACAGCACACGTGCTCACCTTCCTGTCCCTCCTCTGCTTTCCCCCCTCACCCCACGACACACACACACACACACACACACACACACACACACACACACACACACACACACACACACACACCTGCGCATAGCTGCGTCGCTGTGGTTGGATGTGCCCACCATGACCATGGAGGTGTGTGTCCACAGCTGCTCCTCCCAATCCATCATGCGTGCACCGCCCATCATCCTCCAACGATCCTCACACAGTCGCCCCCCTTGCAGCCACAAGCATACGCGACATGTGAGCTGCACAGCTACACTGGTGCACGAGGTACAGCAGCAGCAGCAGCAAGCACCCACAGCAGCAACACCAACGCCAACACATGCACCATGCGCCAACCAAAGCATGCATGATGGGCTCACCTTGCTCACGCATATGGGAACACTGCATGAGCACAGCAGCGACAGCTGAATCGGGGTGGTTGCAGCAGCAGCAGCCGGCATGCGAGCCCACTTCCATCAACATCCTGATGTGTGCTGGTACCTCACCACCTGTGCGTGCGTGTGTGCGTGTGCATGGGTGCAGGGAACGTGGATGGGAACACAACACAACAGGCACAGAGCAAGCCATCACGTCAGCACAGCAGAAAGAGTGATTGACATCACATTCACAAGTGTGTGCGTGCGTGTGTGCGTGCGTGTCAGTGTGCGTGACCATCATCCTCCATGAACCCTCTTTCCCGCTTCGCTTCACCGCACCCCATCACCGCCACCACACTCCATCACACACACACAAACAACCACCCATCACCACCCACATACCATGCGTGAGGCGAGTGCAGCCGGCATGCGTGACAAGTAGCCTCGACATTTCCCTCATCCTGCCTTTGCGTGTACATCGCCTGTAAGTGTGGTTGTGTGCGAGCACCAGCATGGTGAGTGAGTGAGTGGGAGGGAAGAGGGAGCATGAATATGTGCGCAGCTACACTGCTGCCACTGCTGGTGTTGTGCATGCATGTGTGTGAAGGAGAGAAGAAAGGGAAGAGAGAGAAAACAGAAAACAGAAGGGAGGGAAGAAACAAGACATGCGGCACCCCATCCATTCCATCCATCCCTCTTCCTCACACCACCACACACCACCATCCTCTGTCACCAGCCACACCACACCACACCACACCCAGCATCCCCCACCCCACCTCATTCCATCCATCCATCCATCCATCCATCCAACACACATATCCTCTCCGTTTCCCCTCTGCTTCTCACCCTCACCTCTGCTTGCTGCTGCTGCCCGCCGAAAATGCAACTTGTGCTGTCGCCACCTGTTGCCACCAGCAAACAGCCAGCTTCTGCATGCAGCAGCGGGCGATGGGCTGGTTGGTTGGTTGGTTGGTTGGTTGGAGGGATGTGTTCAGCAGCAAGTGATGCTGGCGCTGCTGCTGCTTGCTGGTGCATCGGCGGTGGAGGGGGTGTTGGCTGCTGCTGCTGTTGTTGTTGTTGTTGTGATGGCCGCCAGGGAGGGCGAGAAAGAGAGGGGAATATAAGCAGCAGCTGCAAGGTGGAGAATGTGCAGGTGTGCAAGCAGTCGTGTGTGAGAACGAAGAATGAGACAGCGCATCAAGCAAGGCAATACAGGCAGCCGCACGACACACATGCATGCACATTGATGTGGGACAACAAGGGGAGACAGGAGCAGCAGAGACAGCGACCACAAAACACGCGCAGTGATGCTGCCGCTGTGCACATCACACACATATGTGCAGTGATGCACTCACGTTGCTCATCGCTTGCTTGTTTGTGTTGTGGTCCACAGCCGCACAAGCGTGGCTGGATGGTCATCACATGGCAGCGCCCGTCTGTTCATCCCACCAGAGCAGTGGTGGTTGGTGCAGGAGGGGGTGACAGCTGCTGGTTCAAGGGCCCTCTGTGGGGCGAGAGCAACAGGAAGGTGATAGTGGTGTTGAGGGTGGGAAGGGAAGGACGTGAGCAACACACAAGAAAATGCGAGGTGGTGATGATGGCGTGTGGGTGGGTGGAGAAGAGAACACACACATAGACACACACACACACACACACACACACACACACACACACACACAAACCTGTCTGGGTAAAGCAGTGGTTCGATCACCATTCATCCGTCAGCATGTAGTCATTGTAGGCTGGTTGGTGGGAGTTGCCCACTGGCTCACGCATCAGCCACCACCTGCTGCTACTGCTGCTGCTGCTGCTGATGATGATGATGGAAAACATTCATCTGCACGCACCACACACAAACAAACAAGCAAACAACAGCAGTGAGCAGCGTGGCACAGACAGAAGGAGGAGAAAGCAGGAGGATGAGGATGAGCAGAAACACAACCCCCGTGCACACACACGCACACACACACACACACATTGGCTGTGACGTTGGTTGATGTCATTTCCCCCTCTCTCTCATGTGTGTGCTGCTCACTGGTTGAGAGGAAGCATAATCCATTCTCAGGGTCGCCTGCTGTATGACGGTGGGTGATGGCAACTGTTCTGTCACCACACAACGGTGAGCAAGTGAGTGTGTGTGTGTGTGTGCATTTGTGTGTGTCACACGCAGTGGTGTGTGTTGGTTGTGATCCAACCACCCATGGATGGATTGATGGTGGTCCACACATGTGTGCGCACCATGACAGCGTGCGCTGTGTTGTTGTTGGTGGTGTTGTTGGTTGTTGTTGCTGTGCGCAGTGTGCAAGGAAAAGAAGGGGAAGAGGAGGGGCACGGAGTGGGAGGAGGAAGAAGTGGGAGCACTCAATCTCACCCTCACCTGCCAATGGATGGGTCATCCATGTGGTCGCTGGTTGGTTGGTTGGTTGTGTGTAGTTCATCACAGGAGAAGAAAATGGACAACGATGGATGGATGGAAGGATGGATGGAAGGGAGAAGGAAGAAGAGAGACGGTGCGCACACCCTTCCTGCACACATGTGTGTGTGCATGTGCGTGTGTGCGTGTGAATGCGTCAGCGACGACGACGAAGGAAAGGGAAGGGGAAGGAAGGGAAGGAAGGAAGGAACGTGGCACGCACAACAACCAATGTGTGTGTGTGTGTGTGTGTGTGTGTGTGTGTGCACGAACCAATGACACATCCTCACCTCACCCCGCCTCACACTCACTTCACCTCACCCTCACCTGCCTGTCAGCAGCGACGACGACCATGATCACCATCACCATTCCCATCACCACCACCATCACACACACACCAGCTGCTGCGCAGAAGAAGAAGAATGAAGCAACGGCGAGTGGATTGGTTGGTTGGAAAGCAGAATCGGTTGTTTGCTCGTTTCTGCTTGCTGCTGCTGGTTTTTTGGTGTGTGTGGGATTTTCCTCTTCCTCTTCTTGCTTGCTGCTTGCTGGCTCTGCCTTGATAAATGGCTTGTCTTGCACTGTTGTCGGCAACGTTCATACCAACGGGATCACGCCCGCTCTCGTCCGATCGCGGAAGCTAAGCCCGTTTGGGCCCGTTCAGTACTGCCGTGGGTGACCAGGCGGGAATCACGGGTGATGTTGCTCTCTTCCTTTTTTTTTTTTCTTTTTCCTCGTATGGGGTGCTGTGGCTGCTGTTGTGCTTGCTGTCTCTCCTTCACTTCCCTCTCTCCTCTCTCTTGGCTTGGCTTGATTCGGTTTACTTCTTGTTCTTCTTCTTTGCTTGCTTCGACTTCGTGGGGTGAAGAGGTGGTGGCGCGTGTTGGCTCATCTCCCCTCTTCCCTCTTGTTGCTTGTCTTTTGCGTTGCTTTGCTTCACACACACACACACACACACACACACACACACACACACACACGCACACACACACACACACACACACACACACACACACACACACACTCGCACTGCACACACACAAACACACGAACACACACACACACACACACACACACACACACACACACACACACACCTATGTCGAAGAAGGAACAGAGCAAACGGCGATGGAAGCTTGCCGGAGCACAACCAGTGAGTTAGCATCATCGTGCACGGCAACCCCAAGCACACGAGAGGCATCACGCGTGTCGATCACGTACATGTCGCCTTGGCGTGTGTACACGACAACATTGCCCATGGCATCCACGACTGCCGAAAAGGGTGCATCCATGCCACTTGTCACCACAAACTGCCGTTGTTGCTTCGACGCCAGCACGTACGCGAATGCGGGCACTGTGGCAGTCTGCCGCAACTGCACACCGCCTTGCATCTCCTCCACACCAAACTGCAGCACAGCCACGTGGACGTCGTCCTGTGCATACAGCCGACCAGCGTGCTCGTCCTCATACAGGATGCGGTGCCCTCGTAGCGACAACACCCGCGACGACAGTGCTGGCGATAGTGACGGGCCACCCTGCCCTGCCTCGGGTTGATCATGACGATCGCCAACATCCATATCGCTGGTACTGGTGCATTGTTGTTGTTGTTGTTGTTGTTGTTGTTGTTGTTGTTGTTGTTGTTGTTGTTGTTGTTGTTGTTGTTGTTGTTGTTGTTGTTGTTGTTGTTGTGTGGGCGTGTGTTGTGACGGTGGAAGCAGCAGCGCGACGACGTCGCGTTCATCGCCCATCTCCAGCTCATCATCCCCGGCAGCGAGCTCATCGTCATCCCAGAGCATGGCTGTCTGCTCTGGCTGGTGCGTTGTCACAGGCGCCAGGGCCTTGTGCACGTCCGTGTCGGCCGTTGACTGCTCACCGGCTGGCTGGTGTCGTGATGCTGTTGAGGATGGTGTTGAGGATGGTGCTGTTGTTGCCACTGCTGTCGAGGCCAGCGCAGCTGCGTGTGCTGGTGATGTATCAAACACGAGAAAACAGCTGCCGCGGGATGCAGACAGCGGGGCTGAGCGTGGCGCTTGCGTACCAGCCTCTGCACTGACGTGCGACACCAGGTTGACCATGCGTGGCCACTCGTCTGTTGGGCACGCGAAGACGGCGGTGATGTCGAGGGCGTTGCTGTCGCCTTTCCAGCGCACATCCAGCACCATGACTTGCACGCGCTCCACCGCGCCTTGCTCCGGCTGTTCTGTGCACGTGACTGCCAGGCGAAAGGTGGTGGGGCCCAGCTGCGACAAGGAGCGAAGCACCACAATGCGTGAGCCAAGGCTGGGCACCGGCAGCTCGAAGTTGTACAGGGGTGTCCAGGATCCCGGATGGGTGTCCGTCTCCCTGCATGGGCGGGCACGTGTGAGAATCGTCGGCGTAGTTGTATGCAGCACAAAACAGGCAGAGGCAGCGGCAGCGGCAGCGCCAACAAGCGAGAGGCGCATAACACGACACGCACACACACACACACACACACACACACACAGACACGCACACATACACGCAGACACGCAGACACGCACACACACACACACACGCAGACACGCACAAACATACACATACACACACGCACACTCTCTCTGTTACCTGCGCAGTACGATGCATGCGTTGGTTGGTGTCGTGCAAAACACATAATCATTGGTGGCAGCAACACTGGGGCACCAGTGTGTGTTGGGCCGTGTTTCTTGGCTTGTGTTGAGATCAGCGACCGCGACCACGTCCATACTGTCCCACTGAGTGAACCACACCAACAACCGCATGGTGAGGATGATGCACGCAATCAAAAAGAACAGTGCATGAAAATATCCCTTCGTCAAAACACACACACACACACACACACACACACACACACACACACACACACACACACATGGTAGGATGAGGAAGGCACTCGAAACCACTGGCGTGCAAGAAAACGGACGACACACACATACACACACCCACACACACACACACACACACGCAACACAGCTTCCTGTCCTTACGTGGACTGCTCTGAGCTTGTAGTCTGCAGACACGAAGAGCATGTGATGGGAGTCGTGCCACAGCACGGCGTTGTGTCGTCCTTGAGCCGTCATTGCTGCACGCGACAGCGAGGTCACTGCAGCTCTGCCTGTTGATGAGGATGACGAAGTCATGGATGGGGAAAAGACTTGGACATCTGGCGGCAAGTCGTGCTCATCAACCACCACCACCGCGCTTGCTGCCTGCTGCCCTTTGTCGCCGGCACCCTCAGCATGGCCATGATGCCGGTGCACTTGCTCGCCACTCCTCAGCTTGTACCCTGCAAACGTGTCACACGCTCGCGTGTCGAACCCCACTTCAACCCGCGGCTCCATCCCCACAACAGTTTGTCGTTGTTCGTTGAAATGATCGCACTCGCACAGACAAACTCAAGCAAGGGTCCATTCTGACAGCATAAATTGGGGCTACGCGCTGCACGTTTTGTGTGTGCTGTTTTTGCTCCTTCTTCTGTGTGTGCGCAACACCACACAACCCACCACCACGCGCATCACACCAGCAGCACGCGCACACACAGCCAAACAGCGCCCCTTTGTTCACTCCCGCACAACGTGCAGTGAAGTGAAGTGAAGCGTGACACTGCAGCGATTGCAGCCCAAACCCTCTTCATCTCACACTGTTTCTTTGACTGGCTGCCGCCGCCGTCGTCGTCACACATCACATCGCACATCGCTCGTTGGTGCAAACGGTCATTTGTTCAATTGTTGTGTTTCGAGTACACGGATCGTACCAATATCCGCATTCGTTCTCTTCTCTTCTCTCCCTCTCTCTCGCTGTGTCTCTCTGTCTCCCTGTCGCACCGTCTCTGTCTCTGCCCACGCTTGTTGAGCTTGCATCATGCCGAGGAAGTCGAGTGGACGCACTCACAAGCGTTCGCTCAGTGGCACGCACTGGGCCAAAGTGGATGACAAGAAGGTGAGGTGGCGGCGAGGTGTTGAGTGTGCTGTGTTTGAGCGATTCCAGCGCTTGCATGGCGGCGGGTGTGCAGTGTGCGGTGTTCTGCTCATGATCTCACATGCGGAAGTGCGAGAAAGATGCGTCTGCTTTCGTTTTGTACAGCGTGGTGGTCAGGCTCACCGACACACCTGTTTGCGTCGCTTGCGCTTTGCTTGTTGGTCCCACCACAGGTCACCGTGCGCACGCCCGCCGAGTTTGTTCGCGAGTTTGGCGGCCAGACTCCCATTGAGAAGATTCTCATCGCCAACAACGGCATTGCGGTTCGTGTGTGCGTGTGTGTGCGTGTGTGTGCGTGTGTGTGCGTGTGTGTGCGTGCGTGTGTGTCTGTTGATGTGCGCGCACGTGCACATGTCTGTGTCTTCGCGTTACTTCCGCTCTCTTTTTTTTTCCGCCTGCAAGAAGAGAGAAAGGAAACAACAGCGTAGCGCACACCACAAGTCGCACGTACTGTTGCCAGCACGTTACTGCCCACACGCTTTCACTTTCACCCTCAACACATGTTCACAAATACGACCATCTCTTCACAGGCCGTCAAGTGCATCCGATCCATTCGCCGCTGGTCATACAACACCTTCGGCAATGAAAAGGCCATCCAGGTGCGTCACGATGCGCTGCTGCTCTGCAAGCTGCAGTTGTTTGTGTGCGTGTGTGCGTGTGTGTGTGTGTGCCTGCCCTGACAGCTGCGCTGGTTTACACTCATTCACCCACCCACACGTTCTCGCGCGCGCGCGCACACACGCGCATACGTTTGCACATGTTCGCACACGTTAACACAAAAACCCCTCTCCCCCTCCCAAACAACCCCCACTCACTCCTCCACTGTGCCCACAGTTTGTGGTGATGGTGACGCCAGAGGACATGGCGGCCAACGCCGAGTTTGTGAAGCTGGCAGACCAGCACGTGGACGTGCCAGGTGGCACCAACAACCACAACTACGCCAACGTGGAGCTCATTGTCGAGCTTGCCAAGCAGCAGCAGGTGCAGGCCGTGTGGGCCGGCTGGGGCCACGCCAGCGAAAACCCAAAGCTTCCCGAGATGCTGCACGCTGCGGGCATCATCTTCATGGGCCCGCCAGCCCATGCCATGAGGTGCTGTCCCTCGTGTCCGCGTGTCGTACGCGTATCATGCACATGTGTTATCAGCATTGCACCCCCCAGACCATCTCTCGTTTCTACACCCATCACATTCGCCAGTGATTCCTGTGCCAGTGTGTCGCTCTCATCTCTACCCAGTGCCTTGGGTCTCACTGCTATTTCCGTGATGCTACACAGGTCCCTTGGCGACAAGATCTCGTCCAGCATTGTTGCGCAGTCCGCCAACGTGCCCACCCTCCCCTGGAGCGGCTCTGACCTCTCGGTACGCACGACTCATGCCGACCAAACCGTTGCTGTCACACCAGTTTACCCAAACACACGCACACACACACACCATTGCTACATATGCTCACGTTCTTTGTCTCATACACACACGCACACACACACGCACGCACACATTCCTACATATGCTCACGTCCTTTGTCTCATACACTCGCGCACACCCCCCGTCTCTCTCTCTCTCTCTCTCTCTCTCTCTCTCTCTCTCCACTCCCCCACCCCGCTGGTGCGTGTGCAGATTGAGTGCAAGCCGCCTGTTGACGGCACGCCGCTGCAGGTGCCTGAGGACGTGTACATGAAGGGCTGCATCCACGATCTGGAGGGCGGCCTCGCTGCTGCAAGGAAGATTGGCTACCCCGTCATGATCAAGGTCCCTTTGTTCTCTGCTTGTTCGTGTGCATGTGCACGTTTGCGTGCGTTCGCGTGTGCATGTGCGTGTGTTCTCCACATGCCCCCGTGGGCTCTCTCTCTTCACTATTTCTCACGTTGCTGATGACATGCCACTGGCATCATCACCATCATTGACCCCCGTAGGCCTCTGAGGGCGGTGGCGGCAAAGGCATCCGCAAGGCGACGAGCGAGGAGGAGTTTCCGGCGCTCTATCGCCAGGTGCCCATGCAATGCTGCACCCTCTGTGTGTTTGCATTTTGCCGTTTGCTGTGGTCTGCTATCTGTTGTGAAAACTCTGCATCTGTTGATGTTTGTGTTTTGTGCGAATGCGCTACTTTGGTTGCCTTCTCTATCAACTCACCATGAGTATTGCCCCCACTGCCGTGTCGCCGTCACGTGTCCATCCCATCAACACAGGTGCTGGCCGAGGTTCCTGGCTCCCCCGTCTTCATCATGAAGCTCGCGTCCTCCGCGCGCCATCTCGAAGTGCAGGTGTGCGTGTGCGTGTGTGCGTGTGCGTGTGCGTGTGCGTGTGTGCGTGTGCGTGTGCGCGTGCGTGCGAATGTAAATTATCGCGGTTTCCTTTCAAGCCCGAGAACGACACGCATCTTCCCACCACATCTCACGCATTGAACACACATTGTCCGAATCCACACTGTGCTAAAACACCCTGCACTGTGTCCACGATCACGTCAATGCGCACAGGTGCTCGCGGACATGCACGGCAACTGCATTGCGCTGTTTGGGCGTGATTGCTCTGTGCAGCGGCGGCACCAGAAGATCATTGAGGAGGCGCCAGCCAGCATCGCCCCGCCAGAGATCTTCCAGGAGATGGAGGCAGCTGCCATCAGGTGCAGCACACATTGCGTGTGTAACCGTTTTGTTGCTGTTGTGCGCGTGAATGTTTGTGTTGAGCCCCCTGCATGCGATGTCGTGGATTGCCACATCTAATGCCCCCGCCCAATACACGCACACACACACACACACACACACACACACACACACACACACACACACACACACACACACACACATGCGTTCTTCTTCTCACCCTTATTACCGTCACCCTTCCCTCCTTCCCCAATTCTTCACTCAGGCTGTCGAAGATGGTCGGGTATGTGTCGACCGGAACCATCGAGTATCTCTACGATGTCAGCACGCAGACGTTCTCCTTCCTCGAGCTCAATCCTCGCCTGCAGGTGCGCCAATACACACCGAACCATGCCACACCACACCCAACCACAACACAAAAACCTCAACCCCTCCCCCCAACATGTTTTCTCCGTCCCTCTGCTTGTTGCTCCGTGTTGTTGCCGACGCCCACCTGCCCCACCCCCTTCACACTGCTCACGACCACGACCACGACCACGACCACCACGACCACCATCAGGTTGAACACCCGTGCTCGGAGATGATCTGCGGCGTGAATCTGCCCGCGTGCCAGCTCATGGTCGCCATGGGCGTCCCGCTGCACCGCATCCCAGACATCCGCAGCATGTACAGCCACGTAAGCACAACCGCTCAGCACCAGTCTTAACTAGACTGCGTGATGACCTTGCTTCCATTCTGTGCTCCAGCCGTTTGGCGAGGCGTTCTGTTGTCATTTTGCTCACATATGCCCACCTTCAACGCCCATTCTGCACTCGCTCACCTACGCTCTCCACAAACACAAACGCACCACCTTCCCTCCTTGCTTCTGCCCGTGGTACCACGCGTTGATCAGGACAAGTACGGCGACGGTGACATTGAGCTGGACGACCTCTCCTCCCGCCCGCCCCCAAACGGCCACGTCATCGCATGCCGAATCACCGCAGAGAACCCAGACGAGGTGTGTGTGTGTGTAGGTGTGTGCCGGCATTTGTCTGTACGTGTGTAGGTGTGTGCCGGCATTTGGCATTTGCCTGTACGTGTGTAGGTGTGTAGGTGTGTGTGTGTGTGCGTGCAAGAACAAACACCAAAGTTATGGAGCACATGATCGACGTTACCGTTCACACTGACCATCCCCTCATCCCACATCTCCCCACCTTGCAGGGCTTCAAACCGAGCGGCGGCACGGTGCAGGAGCTCAACTTCCGCTCGTCCGTGGACGTGTGGGGCTACTTCTCCGTCGGCGCTGCTGGCGGTCTGCATGAATTCGCCGACTCGCAGTTTGGCCACTGCTTCGCCTGGGGCCGCACCCGCGATGGTGAGGCAGGGGAGGGGACAGAGTGTGCACGTGTGTTTGTGTGTAAGTGTGTATGTGATGTGTGTGCGTGTGTTTGTGTGCGTGTGTATGTGTGTTTGTGTGTGTTTGTGTAAATGTGTTAGTGTGTGTGTTTGTCTGCATGTGTGCAAGTTTCTTGAGTTCATCATCGTTGATCGCAGTCTCATCCTCTCCTCCTTGCCCACCACTGCCCGTCACCCAAGATGCGCGCCATGCGATGGCGGTTGCCCTGAAGGAGCTCAGCATCCGCGCCGACTTCCGCACCACCGCAGAGTACCTCGTCAAGGTGCGCGCTGGTTTCCCGCGTTTGTGGTGGATCCAGGCTGTGTTGCAGCATGGTTCTGGCCTCCTCGTTTCGATATGCCATCTGAAATACAAGCATGTGCGCCTTCACAGAATTGCACAAACACACATACACACGAACAAAACCATGCACACACGTACATACCTCACATATATATATATATATATATATATATATATATATATATATATATATATATATATATATATATATATATACCCCTCCCTATCCCCCTCACCCCTCGCCTCCCTCATTTGTGTGCAGCTGCTTGAGCACGACGAGTTCCGGAACAACGCCATCTCGACGGAGTGGCTGGACAGCCTCATTGTCCAGCGCGTCAAGGCAGAGCGTCCGGTACGAGCATGTGGTCATGTAACAAAGTGCAGCTGGGGAGAGGGGGAAGAGGAAGGGGAGGCGCTTTGCGCGAGGCGACTGCAGAACATGGATGGTTGCTACTGTTGCCGCTGCAACGCACGCTGTTCCCACCACACATCAATGCACTTGCACTTGCACTTGCACTTGCACTTGCGCTCATCCACCCTGGTCCGCCGTCGCCCATCGCAGGACCCCATGGTGGCTGTGACGTGCGGTGCCGTCTTCATTGCGGACGCCGACATTGCTGCCACGGAAACGGATTTCCTGGCCGGCATGGAGCGTGGGCAGATTATGAGCGGCGAGATGCTGCGCAAGCAGCGCGACATTGAGCTCATCTACGACAATGTCAAGTACAAGCTGACGATTGTTGGCGTCGGGCCCACCACGTATGCCGTGATTCTGAACAACACGTTTATCGAGGCCGACGTGCGCCGTCTCGTCGGTGAGTGCATTGCACCGCAGGACATGGGCTCGCACAGAAAGAAAGGAGAGAAGGGGGAGGGTTCGCCTTCCTTGCTCTCGATGTGTCTGTGTGTACGTGTCTATCTCTGCCTCGCGCGCGCACTCTCTCTCTCTCTCTCTCGTTCTCTCTGTGTCTATGTCTGTTCCTCGCATTGGCTCTTTCACAGCTTCACGTGCAATGATCTACCCACTCATATCATCCCTGCTTTTATTTCTCATGCGCAACAACGCAGACGGCAGCTCGCTGATCCGCTTCAACGGCGAGAGTTACGTCACCTATGTCAAGGCACGTTCACACGCGTTGCCACAGACACCACTCACCCACAAGGCTGCACAAGTATGCTTGTCAGTGTACCGCCACCGTTCCGCTTTGTTGGCTCATACGCGTGATCGAGTTGCTTACCCTCGTACCGTGTGCGTTTGATGACGACAGGAGGACGTGACCAACTATCGCATCGTTGTTGGCGGCCAAACCTGCATCTTCGACAAGGTGACAGTTGCAATAACAGACACGAATCATTCTGCTCGCCACCGCTTTATTCCTCCTCTCCCCCTGTGTGCCCCCTCATCACCACGCTCATCCCCACCCACCTTCACCACGGCGCACCTTCATCACATCACCACAACCCCCACCATCACCACACTGCTTGCCATTGCCACCACCGCCACCACCACTGCCGTGAACACTGGCTGTCAGGAGGACGACCCGTCGATTGTGCGCACGACATCGACGGGCAAACTGCTCAAGTATCTCGTTGCAGACGGCACGGCCGTCCAGGCCGGCGACGCCATTGCGCAGGTGTTGTTTCTTCCCGCTCCGCTTTGGAGTGACGATGTGCTCTGTTGTGGCCGGCCTTGATCGCAGTGCTATTCTCCTGCACCTTGTCGTTCTCAAGTGGTTCCAACTTGCTGCATCGTCTTGATGTGTTTAGGTTGAGGTGATGAAGATGGTCAGCGAAGTCAAAGTCGAGGCATCGGGACGCATCCAGCTCGCAATGGTAAACGGGAAGTGCGGTGGGGTGGTGGCAGTGTATTGGTGTGCGTTGTGCTGTGTTTTGTGAGTCTGATGTGTGAGCAAGGTCTTCCCGCCTCTTCCTCTGCTTGGTCGTCCTCGTTACCTCTGCCTTCAACTGTGCCGATGTTCTCATGACGTCACCAACCCTCCTCACACACACACACACACACACACACACACACACACACACACACACACACACACACACACACACACACACACACACACACACACACACACACACACACACACACACACACACGCACACACACACACACACACGCACCACATTAAAGGTGAGCGGGCACAACTTTGGCGCCGGCGAAGTGCTGGCGACGCTTGAGCTCGAGGACGATACCCAAGTCAAGAAGCCCGTCGATTACACAGGTGCCCTTTCGCGCAGAGCCTCGCTGTGTCCGCATGTGTTTTTTTCTGCCATGGTACTCTTCCATCTTCGACCTTGCTTTCGCATTCACCCACGTCTGTTCTGCATGCTCTGACGCATTGACACTCACATCCCCCTCCTTCACGGCTCCTCTTGCCCCCCCCCCCAACAAAAGACGGGTTCCCGTCGCCGTCATCGGCCACGAGCGTCCCACAGGGGAAGCCGCACCACGCGCTCAGGGCCATTGTGCAGCAACTCTCCGCCATCATGAAGGTGTGCAGGTCTCAATCCACACACGCGTTCGCACACGATGACTCACCATGGCCGCCCATTCCTCTCGCATGTTTCCTCACCCGTTTTCTAACGCGTTTCATCACGGGGTTTCCCTCACACACCACCATCGCCCGCCTTTCCTTCGCCGCGGTCAGGGGTACGCGTTCCCGGAACCGTATTTCCACCAGCGGCTGCACGCCCTGGTGGACCGCCTGTTTGAGGTCTGCACGAACCGCCGCCTCCCGCTCCTCGAAATGCGAGGTAACCCGACTTGCAGAACCACTCATCTGTACAGGAGCAACACCTCCGCCTTTTCGCACACACACACACACACACACACACACACACACACACACACACACACACACACACACACACACACACACACACACACACACACACACACACACACACACACACCCTCTTCCGCTTCCCCTTTCGCATCAGACCTGCTGGCCACGCTGGCCGGTCGCATCCCAGCGGAGATTGTGCAGGGCATCCAGCAGCAGCTCGGCTTCTACGAGAAGTCCCTCAGCTCTATGATCTGCAGGTGCGCCAATGAACGTGTGTCGTATTCGTTGTACATCGTATGTTCTGAGTGCACCTAGCGTCACCGCACGTTCGCTCACACACAACACACACACACACACACACACACACACACACACACACACACACACACACACACACACACACACACACACACACAGGTTTCCCGCGCAGAAGATTGACTCGATCATCTACGACCATCTGGAGAGCGTGAACAACAAGGCGGACCAGGACGCCCTTTTCCAGTCCTGCCAGGACATCTTCCTCAAGACAAAGGTGCGCCGCCGTGCATGGTTTGGGAAACATGGTTGGACACTTGAGAAGGACTTGGGCTTTCGCGGAGACTTCTTGATGCACACAAACACACACGCACGCACGCACACCAGCTGACGTTGTCACCCCCTTGTCCCATTCACATGTCCACAAATGTTGCACACTCGCAAATCGCACCTCACGCCGTCCTCTCTGCAACACCCCCCCCCCCCTTCCCCAAACAGGCCTTCAGTGCCGGCGAGCGTGCGCACATGATGCAGATCATTGGCGATTTGCTGCGCGAGTACGTTGACCTGGAGCTCGTGTTTTCGCGGTCCCACTCGATGGAGAGCGCAGTGCAAGCGCTGCAGTCGAAGCACGAGGGCAACCCCGCTGCTGTTGCTGAGCTCCTCTTTGCACACTCCCAGGTAGCAGGCTTTGTGGGGGACAGGTTGTGTGTGGTTGTTCGTGTGCAGCTCGTGTGGTTGTGTAGATGTTATGCGTGCTGTGCGTGTCTTGTACGTGTGTCGTTGTGTTTCATGTGTGCATGCTGCTCTTGTCCTTGACTGCTTGTTTCTGAACCTTCTGTCGCCCTCACCCCACGCTCGCCACACCCTGCGGTGCTTATCCACAGCTCAAGGTCCGGAACGTTCTCGTGAAGGTGCTCCTGGAACAGGTGTACAAGAAACGGTGAGTCGTGGCAGTTTGCCAGACGCATTTGAAGGCCTTGCTGTTTTTCCTTGTTGTTTAACCCCCCCTCCTTCCACACACACACACACACACACACACACACACACACACACACACACACACACACACACACACACACACACACACACACACACACACACACACACACCATCTTGATTCGAGCCAGCCTGTGCACGAAGGAGCAGAGCGACATGATGACGCTGCTGAAGGATCTGGCCAGCCTCGGCGCCTCTGTGCACTCCTCCGTCGCCCTCGCCGCTCGCAAGGTGCCCGCTGCTCCGTACACTCGCCTCAGCGTCTGCTTTGCCATGTTTCCTTCGGTGGCGGTGCCTGTCACTCATCAAAATTGCACCTTCATCACTGCCGGCTCACTGTTCGCTCCCTCCCTTTGCTACACCCCCGTCCCTCAAATGATTCAGATCCTGATGAAGCTGCACCTGCCGTCGTATGAGCTGCGGAAGAACAACATGGAGACCATCTTCGTTGAGGCCATGGAGGACTCCTTCTCCGGCACCTACTCCCCCGAACGCCTCGAGCGCATCGTCAACTCGCAGGTGCAGTGCCCTGCTGCCGCTGCTGGTGGCGGTGATGCTGCTGCCGCTGCTGGTGGTGGCGGTGATGCTACTGCTGCCATAACATTAACCTCGCATTTGCATTGCACTGTAGCGCTCTCCGTGCACCACCATCGAAGAACATCGAGCCTTGGCTCGTTCGACTTGGTCGTGTCGCCCTTCTCACTCAACTATCTCCTTCCATGCACGCATTTGTGTGTTCGCTGCGATGCTGACAGACGGCTGTGTTTGACGTGCTGAGTGGGTTCTTCTACCACTCGTCCGAGACAATCCAACAAGCTGCCCTCGAGGTGTACGTCCGTCGCTCCTACGTCGCCTACACCCTCACTGTGCGTTCCAACCCTGCTTTGCATCGGTTCACCGGATAAGTGCTTTCTTTCTTCCCTGTCCCTTCTCCCCACATGTAACTGCACACGCTCACACACACACACACACACACACACACACACACACACACACACACACACACACGCACACACGCACACACGCACACACGCACACACGCACACACGCACACACGCACACACGCACACACGCACACACGCGCGCACGCACACACACACACACACACACACACACACACACACACACACAATAGGACATCACGCATCGCCGCAGCCCGAGCGGGTGCGTTGTGATTCAGTTTGCATTCCACATTCCAACCAAGAGTGCGCAAGACCCCGAGGGCCTCTCGCGCGAGGTGCACCACCAGGACCACGGCGGCCGCTCCCGCACTTCCTCCAGCGGCTCAATCAAGGTGTTTGACTTTGAGTCGCCGTGCCAGACGCCGCCCCGCACGCGCTCGCCCACCGCCCTCCTGCAGTCGCCCACATCGTCCCTGGTCCGTGGCTCTCGCACGCGTGCTTTCTGTAATACGTTTGCATTCATGGGTGACCTTGTGCGCTTGTATGCACGTGTGTGTGCATGTGTACTCGTACGTATCTGCGCTCTCCAACCGCATGCTTGTTTGTGCTTGTGCATTTGCGGTCTCAACATGCACTCACTCCCCTTCGCACTGCGTCCGAATCACTGTGTCTCCACACCCGCCATGCCAGAGTGACGACCTGTCTGCTGCGCTCAAGTCCGTCGTCAGCATCGACGATTTGCAGGAGTTTGAGCGCCAGGTGGGGATGGGGACATCGCTGTGCAATTGGAATGAACTTTCTCTTGTGTGTTGTGCTTCGCTACTGTTGGTTTGTTCCGCATCTCCATGCTTTGTGCTCGCTAACGTATGTGTGCGTGTGTGTGTGTGCGTGTGTGTGCGTCGTGGGATTCAGGCTGAGGCCCTGACAATCGACTCTGTTGTCATGCGCATGGGCGTGATGGCTGCTTTCACCTCCGTCGAAGGTATGTTTGAACAACCTCGCGAGCAAACGGGCAAGATTCATCCGTACATTGGCAGTGCGTTGTTCTGCAAGTGCGCTGTCCAACCAAAGTACACACAAGCACACACAAGCATACGCTCACACAAACACACACACACACACACACTGATGCACGCCTCGCCCCGTTTTTTCTGACCAACTTACAGAGCTCGAGGGCCAGCTGCCGTGGCTGCTGACGCTGTTTGAGAACAGCCAGCACGACGCCGAGCCCATCAACATCCTCAACATTGTCCTGCGCATCGAATCGGGTTCGTTGGCCCGCACGTCGTGTGTGCGTTGTTGTGTGCGTTGTTGTGTGCTTGTGTGCGTTGTTGTGTGTTTGTGTGCCAGTGCTCTTGTGCTTGTGTGCGTTGTTGTGTGTTTGTGTGCCAGTGCTCTTGTGCACATGTGTGGTGTTGTGTGCAGTTGTGTACAGTTGTGTGCAGTTGTGTACGTGTGTGTCGGTTTTTGGTGGGGTTCTTTTACTTATGGTCATCCCATCTATATCTCGTCCCATTCTCCTCATGCATCCCTCAACTCTCGACAGAACAAGACTTTGAGGACGATGAAGTGCTGCTTGAGATGCTCTCAAAGTTCGCCCACAAATACAGCGATGACTTCTTCCCTGTGCAGGTACACATGCCCTGGCATGGCATGCAGCGCGTTCCTGCCTCAGTGATGATACGTGCTTGTTGCCATGAGCTTGTACCTTCAACTTCCACTGCCACCTCCCATTTTCAATCGCCATTCACCACCACCACCACCACCACCACCACCACCTGTCCGTGTCTCACCTGTTCCCGTCACCCCCCCCCTTTGCCTCTGCTTCCTTCAGATCCGTCGCGTCACCTTCATCATGTGCCGCCAGGGCCGCTTCCCCAAATACTTCACCTTCCGCGAGCGCCTCGGTAGCGTGGTTGCCTTCGCTCGCACGCGTGTTCCACGTGTTTGACATTATCGTGAAGCCAACCTGAGTTGATTTACCTGTCTCAAATTCCTTGTTGCCCCACCCCCCTAACACACGCCCATACCCACATGTTTGTTCCGTTCTGCAGCGTACAAGGAGGATAGCATTGTGCGCCACGTTGACCCCGCTCTTGCCTTCAAGCTCGAGGTGCGGCTTCGCGTCCACTTCCGAACAACCGTCCCTGGTCTGCTGTGACATGTACGCCTTTGTTCAATTGCGCATGGGCGCTGGTACTCTGCTGCACCTGCTCACGTTGCGTGCATATTTCATCCATCATTGCAGATGTTCAAACTGAACAACTACAAGGTGGAGCACTGCCCAACCCGCAACCCGCAGCTGCACCTCTATTACGCAAAGGCAAAGGGTGCGTTACCGCCGCGCCTGCTCTGCATGCGTGTTTTGTGCCCTTCATCCGCTCTTCAATCCACCCCGCGCATTTGGGAGAACAAGCAAACGCATTCACCTGCTTGCTCTCACCTTCCCGACAACGCACAATCACGCGTGCGTATATATGTTTGTACGTGGATGCACCAGACCCCAAGTCAGCGCACGACCGCCGGTTCTTTGCGCGCACGATCATGCGGCACCCTGACCTGGTTGACAAGCAGGCGACCAAGGCGTTCATGCAGGAGGCCGGCGAGCGACTGCTGCTTGAAGCCCTCGATGAGCTCGAGGTCGTGTTCTCGGACCCAAAATACGCAGGCACAGGTAACAGCACGCGAATGTGTTTGTGTGTGGTGTGTGGTGTGTGTTTGTATGTGTGTGTGTGTATGTGTGTTTGCATGTTTGTATGTGTGCGTGCTTGGACAATGCAGAAAGTTGGTCATTTGCGTTGAAACACGTCAGAAAATGTGTTCTGATGCGTGTTAATTTGCCTCTGCGCATGCACGCATGTTCGCGCCGGGTACGCGTGCTCGCATCCACCCTCCGACCTATTCACGCATTGACGCATTCATGCACTCCTTGCGCCGTTGCTGCTTGTTTGTAGATTGCAACCACGTCTTCATCAACTTCCTGCCTGTGGTCGAGGTTGACCCGCTCGCCTTTGCCAAGGAGCTCGAAGCCATGATTCGCAGGTACCGCACACACACACACACATGCACTCACTGCTTCGTTCATTCCATGCTCGTGAATTGGCTTGTTCAACGCACTTGCAAATGCGATGCGCACGCATGCAACACTTGACACGCATACGAACACTCGAACACAACCGCCTGCTCCTGTTCATTCCCATACTAACCCTCTTCCATCGTCTCACTCACTCTCCCTTGTCATGCCTCTGCCTCCCATTCGGTGCACAGGTACGGCGAGCGGCTGTGGCGCTTGCGTGTGCTGGAGGCCGAGGTGCGCATGAACATCAAGCTGGGCAAGACAGGCAGCACGCGTGTCATCCGCTACGTCATCAGCAACCTCAGCGGGTAGGGCGACACCACACGACAACTGACACCTTTGTTTCATGGTTTTGTCTGTTGTTCACGGGAGAGTGGCGCCATTGAAACGCGCTCGCCTCCTCCAGGTGACTGTTGATTCAAATCAACAACATGATGATGATCATCATCATCGTCATCTCATGTGTACGGTGGCTGGCAGGTATTCACTGGACATCCACATCTACAAGGAGATTGTCATGTCCAGCACCGGCGCTGCGTACTACCGCGCCCTGCCCGGGACGCCATCCGGACCCCTCAACGGTCGGCAATGACATTTGTTTTGGGGATTGGGTGGAAGAAGGGCGTTGGCTCTGTCTTGAGATTGACAAGCTGCACGTCCACGAAATGTACACACGTGTAAACAAACTCACACACATATGCATGTGCACACACACACACAAACACACACACACACACACACACAAACACGCACACAAACACAAACACACGCACACAAACACACACACACAAACACACACACAAACACAAACACAACCACACACACACACACACACCTTTGACGCGTGCTCCGTCACAGGGCACCACACGCACACGCCGTATGCGTGCAAGGATCGCACGCAGCAGCGCCGCTACATGGCGCAGCAGAAGAACGAGACAACATATGTCTACGACTACATCGACCTCTTCCGCGTACGCATTCACACCGCACACACCACTCATCTCACACGCACACGACGCTATGTTCACATGGCATGCATGCTGCTTTGACGCTGTCTGCCTTCTCTTTCTTTTTTTTTTCTTTTTTTCTTTCTTTTTCTTTGTTTTGTTGTATCACTGCCCCACCGTGTCCTACCTCACGAACTTCAACACCACCCGGTGACTTTCCAAACCAGGTTGCACTTGAGCAGCGCTGGCAGGCGTACCAGAAGAGCAACCCAAGCGTGCACGTGCCTTCAAAGCCGCTCACCGCATTTGAGCTCGGTACAAATGTCACCCGCTCACTGCACACAAGTTGTCGATGTGTTGCTGTTGTGGTGGAGGAATGGCTGTCTCTTAGAGCCTGGCCATTGCGCGTTTGCTTTGCTTTGTTGTGACTGCATTTGCTTGCCTTTGAGCTCATCAAACGCGTGTGCATGTACACTTTTCAAACCACCACCACCATCGCTTCGTTTGCAGTGCTGAACAAGTCTGGCCAACTTGTTGAGGAGCAGCGTGCTCCCGGCAACAACAACGTGGGCATGGTGGCCTGGCGCGTCGAGATGAAGACACCAGGTGAGCACCAAACAAGTTGGTTTGCTTGTGCATGTGGTGGTGTATGTCAGTGGTATGCCTGTCTTGTGTATGTATATCGGCGCACTGCTTGCTCACTGCATGTGTGTTTGTTCGTTTCATACAACACACACACATCGCGCTCCCGCGCTCACACGAACACCATTCCCTGCTGCTCGTGACAGAGTATCCGACGGGCCGCACGATGATCCTGATTGCCAACGACATCTCTTACGTCAGCGGCTCATTCAGCCCGAAGGTTAGGACCTGTTGCTTGACCCTGCCGCGGGTGGTGCTGTTTGAGGCACACACACACACACACACACACACACACACACACACACACCTGTGCTTGTGTTTGTTTGCGTGTACAATGCCACATGGGTGAACCATAGTGCAGTCAAGCAAGCGTAAGCTCACATGCACCTTCCATTCCTCCACCCTCAACTGTTCTGTTGCACATGTGTCAGGAGGATCTGGTATTCCTGCGTGCGTCGCAGCTGGCGCGCTCCCTCGGCGTTCCACGCATCTACATCGCCGTCAACTCTGGTGCCCGTATCGGCCTCGCAAAGGTGAACAACACCGCTTGATCGTTTGTGCACTGGTCGTGACCCGTCACTGGCTTGCACCTCCAAAGCTCACGCGCCTGGCTTTGTATGTGCGGTTTTGTGCTTTCATGTGTGTGTGTGTGCGCGTGTGTGTGTGTGTGCGCGTGTGTGTGTGTGTGTGCGCGCGCGTGTGTGTGTGTGAGCAGGAGGTGCTGGATCGCTTCAAGGTGGCGTGGAAGGATGAGGCAAACCCGAGCCACGGCTTCCGCTACATCTACCTCACAGAGGAGGACTACGAGTAAGGCGTGCAAGGCGTGTAAGGCGTTCATCTCACAACAAGCACTCTAATCAACCCACAGCACCCGCACGCACGTCATACGCACATGTACGCGTGCTTGTGTGTTTATCATTTTCTCATGCCACAATCAACACGATTCCATTGTGCCCCGGTGCACAGGTGGGCCAGCGACAAGCAGGCCGTTCGCGCGGTGCTGGTGGAGGAGAACGGCGAGAAGCGCTACAAGATCACCGACGTCTTTGGCATTCAGCACGTACGTGGTTGCCATCATTGCCACTGACATCAGGAAGTGCCTGTGTATTTGCTCACGGCCTGCGCTGCGGTTGTATTATGCACGCGTGTCCGTTGCTCACCAACGCAACACGTTTCTCCTTTCAAAAACACAACACACCAGGGCCTTGGTGTTGAGAACCTGCGCGGCTCCGGCGAGATTGCGAGCGAGACAAGTCTCTCATATGACAGCAACTTCACGCTCACCCTCGTGTCATGCCGCTCGGTACGCGTTGCCTGCTCTGCGATTGTTGTGCGCACGTCTCGTGCATGTTGCCCTTGTTGTTGTTGTTGTTGCAGTTATCATCTGCTGTTGTCGCTGTTGCTGTTGCTGGTGTGCATGTGTGTTATGCGCGCGTTGAATGGCTTCTTCTCTCAAGAGTGCCTCCTGCTGTCAGCGCCTGTCCCCCCCCCCTTCTCGGTTCCACTCCACACCACGGGCGCAATCCAGCATTCGCATGGTCTTCGCGGTATACTCTCGCGTGTCTACTCACCACCCTCGCTCTCCCTCCCAACACCATAACAAACGCGCACGGCAGGTTGGAATTGGCGCGTACCTGGTTCGGCTCGGGCAGCGCACCATCCAGAATGAGCAGTCGCACATCATCCTCACGGGCCACAACGCCATCAACAAGCTGCTTGGCAGCGACGTGTACGCGTCCTCGCTTCAGCTCGGTGGCCCGCAGATTATGTACTCCAACGGCGTGTCCCATCTCACCGCCACAAACGACTTTGAGTCTGTGCGCTCGGTCCTGTCGTGGCTGTCGTACGTGCCGGTGACGGTTGATGCGCCACTGCCGCGCTTCCGCTGGACCATTGACGCCCGCAACAGCGTGTGCCGCCCCGACCCCGTCGACCGCCTGGTCACGTTTGTCCCGGATGGGCACAGCGACCCGCGCTGGCTGATTGAGGGCGTCGCTGGCGAACAGATTGCCGGAGAGCAGGAGTGGAAGCACGGCCTCTTCGACCATGGTGAGCCACACACAAACACACACACACACATCACACACACACACACACACACACACACACACACACACACACACACACACAGACACAGAAGCGTCATGTTCATGGTGATATTGCGGAGTGGTGACTCCGTCTGGTTGATTCTCGCATGTCTTGTTGATCGTTGATGTTGGTTATGTCCTGGCATGCTGTTTCTCCCGAACCATCGTCCTCGTGTCACACGTGACCGCCTTCCGTGCGTCCCTGCAGGCTCGTTTGTTGAGATGCTTGGCGGCTGGGCGAAGACGGTTGTGACGGGCCGCGCCAAGCTTGGCGGCATCCCAGTGGGCGTCATTGGCGTCTCCACCAGCCCCGTCGAAGGTGTGTGTGTGTGTGTGTGTGTGTGTGTGTGTGTGTGTGTGTGTGTGTGCTCGGTGCTTGGCAACAATTTTGTTTCCACCCCCATCCTTCAAAGCTCCATCGAATCCACTCGCCGCCGTGACAATAACGCTGCATCCTCACCCTCCTCTCTGTTGTTTTTTTTCTTTCTTTTTTTTTGCTTGCCTGCATGCAGTAATGATCCCTGCTGATCCCGCCAACCGCGAGTCCATTGCTGTGGTCCAACAGCAGGCCGGACAGGTGCGCACCCAGCTCTCCCATGCTCTACAGCGAGCACACCTGTACAACCGGGACACACATACACACATGCACACATGGACACATGCACACATGCACACGAACACGTACACAACACACCCACACACACACATGCACACACACAATCGGTCGGTCGTTCGCTCATATCCTTGTGCCCTGCCACTACCGGCATCGCCGTGCCCTGCGCCAGGTGTGGTACCCGGACTCCGCCTACAAGACGGCGCAGGCGATCCGCGACATGAACGGGGAGCAGCTGCCGCTGTTCATCCTGGCAAACTGGCGCGGGTTCTCTGGCGGCATGCGCGACATGTACGACGAGGTCCTCAAGTTTGGTGCGTACACACGCCCACGATTGCACATTGTGTTTGATTGCAACTGCGATTGCGATTGCGTTATGGCTCTGTTGATTCGAGTTACTGTCGTGTTGAAACGCGACAAGTGCTTGCGCATGGGGTTTGCTGCTCAAAGAGCGTTTGACTCTTCCATCCGTTGTGTTTGACCTGCTCCTTGACACTCTCGCCTCCCCCGCCTATCACACTCACTGACTGTCGCCACTCAACACCCGTTGAACGTCTGCCCCCAACTGAGCAGGCGCCATGATTGTGGACAACCTGCGTGTGTACAAGCAGCCCGTGTTTGTGTATCTCCCGCCGAGCGGCGAGCTCCGTGGCGGTGCATGGGTGGTTGTTGACCCGACCATCAACCCGGAGATGATGGAGATGTACGCGGACCCCAACTCGCGCGGCGGCGTCCTCGAGCCAGAGGGCATCGTCTCGATCAAGTTCAAGGAGAAGACCATGCGGGAGGCCATGCTCCGCCTCGGTCAGTTGCGCGCTGTTTGTTTGTTTGTTTGTTTGTTTGTTTGTTTGTTTGTTTGTGTGCGCACATCTGTCTCCTCTATCTGTCTGTGGTTGAGTTGAGTTGAATGCACACGGCGCGTGAGCGACACATGCACTCATCACAACCCCTGCGGCTTTCGTTTCCCCCCTCCCAACATCATCTGTAGACGACGAGTACCATCGTCTGCACGCGCGGGCCAACGATACCTCGCTCCCTGCTGCGGACCGGGAAGAGGCCACCAAGCTCATGGACGCCCGCTTCAAGTCCCTCCGCAACGTCTACCATCAGGTGCGTTGCTGATCACCTTGGCCTTGTTGCTGTTGGTTGCAGTGGGCGACGGTTGTATGCGCGGTCGTTGCTTGTGTGAATGTGCCAAGCGGTGCTTTGTTTACGCGACGCGCTCGTTGACCCCCACGTCGTGACACACCATCAAACGATGAATTGCGATTGGGTCTCTGCTTGCCAGGTTGCTGTCCAGTTTGCTGATCTGCACGACACCCCCGGGCGCATGCGTCACAAGAACTGCATCCGCGCTGTGGTCGAGTGGGCTCACGCCCGCAAGTACTTTTACTGGCGCCTCCGTCGCCGCCTCGGTGAGCGCTGTGCCCTTGCGTGTGTGTGTATGTGTGTGTGTATGTGTATGTGTGTGTGTGTGTGCGTGTCTGTGTGTGTGTATGTCACGTACGATGCTGGTGCCCCTCGCCCAACCATACGCTCCCTCAACCGTACCCTCGCTCACATGTCGCATTCATTGGCGCTTCCCCTCCTGGCAGCGGAGACGATGGTTCGCCGGGAGCTGATCAAGGCCAACGAGACGCTGACGCGCCAGCAGACGGAGTTTATCATGCGGCGCTGGTTCTTCGACGTGCACGGGCCGGACAAAGCGCACCTGTGGGACAGCGACGAGACGGTGGCCAACTGGTTTGATGCTAGCTGCGACACAGACGGCAACATTGCCCCAGACTCCCAGATTGCGCGCAACCTCAAGTACGTGTTGAGTGTGTGTTTGAGGGTGTGTGTGTGTGTTTGCTTGAATGTAGTTGTTTTTGTGTTTCCTGCAGAGAGGGAGAGAGATATTGTGTGTGTGTGTGCGTTCATCTGTGCATACGCTTGCTGCCCTTCTGACGATTCACTGTTCGCCTGTGCCAGGATGGTTGCTGAGGAGCACAAATCCGAGAAGCTTCGTGCCATGGCCGAGGTGGGTAACTTGTCGTTGAAATAATGACATGACGACGCATATGCCAAATCTTTTTTGTCCCTTGACACTGTGACGGCTGCTTTGTCACCCACACCTTCACCTTCACGTGCTTTGCCGTCACTCGTTCTTCTCACATTCCCATGTTCACGTACACAACACACACACACACACACACACACACACACACACGCACACATTTATACAGGACGTTGGTGGGGATGCTGCGCTGAGCGGCATCATGACTCTGCTGGAGAAGCTCACCCCGACACAGCGTGCACAGCTTGCCCAGACACTCGGCGGCAACGGCAACAAGGCCGATGCCCAGTAGAAACCAAGCGACTCAGGCTACTTGCTTGTCTTTGTCTTGTCTTTCCTTGGGTCAATTTCTCGCCGTCCTGCCTCCCCCGGACTTCCTTTCTTTCCTTCTCCCTCTCACCCTCTCCCGGACTTCCTTTCTTTCCTTCTCCCTCTCACCCTCTCCCGGACTTCCTTTCTTTCCTTCTCCCTCTCACCCTCTCCCGGACTTCCTTTCTTTCCTTCTCCCTCTCACCCTCTCCCGGACTTCCTTTCTTTCCTTCTCCCTCTCACCCTCCCTCCCCCAATGTTCCACGTCTTTCGTTTTGTCGTTTTCTTTCTTGTGTTCTGCTGACCTACCCCCATAGTCTGCCACTGCTGACCGCCACCACACACGTACGTGCTCCTTTTGTGCGTGTGCGTGGTTCCTTTTGCTTTCAACAAAAACGTGCATCGAATCATTTGTGGGAAAACGAATGCGTGAGTGTGTGAAAAGCAAACACCACACCGCAACAACCACAACCAAACCACAGCAACCATCCTTTCAACCCACCAGCTTACTTGCAAGCCATGTCTGATTTTGATCCATGCGCGTGCATCACGCACAGCGCGCTCATGCAGCGCCTCCTTCAAATGGTACACGCCGTTGTGTGTGCGTGTGTGTGTGTGTGCATGTGTGTGTGTGTGCATGTGTGTGTGCTTGTGTGCACGCGTTTTCTTTGATTTCCTTAGCATGTGTTTGTGTTTGCATGTTGCGCATCGACTCCAAGCCTGCATGGTGTAATGTGCATCTCTCTGCCATCTCCTTACACCCTCCTGCTTCTCACATAAGCTCACACACACACACACACACACACACACACACACACACACACACACACACACACACACACACGTGTGTTTCACGGCTTGACGCCTTTCTTCCTCTCCCACAGCTTCGCAATGCGCAGGACACATGTACAGATTCAGAGTGCTTTGAGGGTACGTTTCAGGCAACATGTGTATGTGTGTGTGTATGTCTGTGTGTGTGTGCAAGCACAAGATTGCGAGTGTTCATATGCACTTTTTGCGTGTGTGAGTACATGGTGCTTGGTGCTGTCTGCGTGGAAATGTCATGGGATGTTGCAGTTCTCAGCCAACTGCAGCCCGCCTTGCCCCATCTGCCCCCCCCCCGGCCCGCTCGCATGTACGCGTGTGTGCGTTGGCCTTGCCATCCCCTTCCTCATCCCATCCCGCACCTCGCACCCTCTGCAGATTTACAAGCACAGAACAATGACGGGTTGAGTTGGACCGCGCTGCTGTTTCTATGGGCCTTACTTGCGGCTGCCTTCTTCCTCACCAGGTGCGTCGCGTACATCCCCCCATTATCAACGATTCAGTCGTCGTCGTGCTGCTGAGCCTTGCACTGTGTCGACAGCTGCACTGTGTCGACAGCTGCATAATGTCAACTCTTTGACGTTTGTCGAAGTGTTGTCATTCACACACACACACACACACACACACACACACACACACACACACACACACATAGGCCAAAGGCATTGAGGAGTGGGCCAGACCGAGATTGTGGGCCAGGCAGTTCGTCGTCGTCGTCGTCATCATCATCGTCAAACGGGCCGCCGCCGCCGCCGCCGCCGCCGCCAGCTGGGCAGACGTGATGCGTGTTTCAACAACCACCTCTGCCCCCCCCCCTTTCCCTCTCCCTCTTCTTCGTTACCACCTGACGTCCTAACGCTTACTATGCTGCTCCGTACCTCGCCTGGGTACAATTGCGCACTCGTGTTGTGCCTTTGTTCCCTGACCATCCTTGTCGTTCTGTTCGTTGCTCCTGCTTTCCCTAACTGCCGCTGCCTTCTTGTTCCCTCTCATCTTGCTTCGACTGGTCGCACGCCTGTATGTGACACATGGCGCCCTGTTATTGCCATCCATGTCACAAAGCAACCAAGCAAGCGCGAGCAAGCGCGTGCTCCCCCTCCCCCTCCTCTTTGCTCAGCATCTCTTAAAGCACGCATCTCTCCCCGTTCGCGTCGTTGTTTGATTGCTTGTGCTCGAATACAGCTCATGACTGTCAAGGCTCCACCGTGCATTTTACACCATCACGTGTTTTGCTGTTTGCTGACTGCTTGGAGCGAGAGCAACAGTCACATCACTGCCATCATGGGGTGTCGGCAGAGCAAAGCAGCCGAGCACACAGGCGAGGTGGAGCTTGGTGACGGGCAGAGCATCACCGTGGAGGTGGTGGAGGCACACACCAATCCGGCCTTTGCTGCCGCGGCTGGAAAGCACCCACAGGACGACACGGAGAGTGGCGGAGACAAGGATGAGGGCGTCGGCGACAGACATGTACGTAATGATGCATGCGACCCGCAGGTGGCACCACCCGTCGCACAAACCACACCATTGGTCAAGGCAGACACGGCCTACACCGGGGCAGGCAAGAGTAGCAGCACCAACCATCACAGTGACAGCGACAGCGACACCGACACCAGCAGCGATAGTAACAGCGGTGACAGGGTATTCGCTGCGTCAGACGGTGCAGATGCAATGCAAACTGCTGACGACCAGCAGGATGATGGCACCGAAGATGCGAGTGCCCGTGCCGCAACGCCCGACTCTTCTCCTGTGGCTAACATGGCCCCAAGGCCAGCACGCGTGGACAACGGGGACGATGAAGAACGTGGCAGCAGCGCTGGCCATGCTCCAGAGAACGCCACTGATGCGACAGTGCAACATACCGAGGGCACGAAGGACCCCGTGGGAGCTGCGCCAGGCTCAACCGAGCAGGAGACTGACGCCTCCACACCGGCGCAGCCCAGGCTCAACGTTGCCACCTCGCGGCAGCAAGAACAAGACGCACCGAAAGGCGAAGAAGAAGCGCCACTGCAAGAGGATGAGAAGAAGGGCAACCGGAATGCACAGCCCGCCTTCTTGGCCGCCGACTTGCCAGCTGGACTTGGAAGGTCAGGCAGACAGACAAGCCCTTGTTCTGTGCGAGTGACACTGTGGATACATATGTGTTCCTTTGTTCTGGTTACTTGCTGACCAGGTGTACGAGCCGTTCCACTTACGTGCCCACCCAATTGACACACACACACACACAAACACACACATACACACACATACACACACAAACACACACACACACACACACACACAAACACACACAAACACACACATACACACACAAACACACACACACACACACACACACACACACTCGCTCACACTCACACTCACGCATCGCACTCTGCATGTAGTAAGCTGCAAGGTTTGCATGAGATTGTCTCGGCCGTGAAGGAGGAGGATAAGGAGATGGCACGCAAGCAAGCAGAGGTGTGTATGACGTGCAATGGGCACCCACACACATACACACATATACATACACATGCACACACACACACATACACATACACATGCACACACACACACACACACACACACACACGCAGATGGCATTCACGCGCCCACCACCACCACTACATCCCTCTCCCCACCTTACACACACACAGGCGGAGGAGCGTGCGCGTAAGCTGGCACGGTCGCAGATTGCCCCGGCAGCGCTGCAGAAGTTGGACGCCATCACGCAGCAGCGGCTTGCACTCCAACGCATCGCAGCCCCGGAAATCGAACCAGTGGACCACTCGTAAGTTGCAGTCGTGTGTGTGCGTGTGTGTGTAGGTGCGTGTATACGTGCGTGTGTGTACGTGCGTGTATATGTGTGTGTGTGTGTGTGTTTGCATGTGTTGCATGTACGTGTGGGTGTGTGTACGTGTGTGTATGTGTGCATCTGTTACATGTATGTACATGCATATGTGTACGTGTGTGGCACAAGAAAACGAACCAAATGCCGACCTGTACACGTCTACTTTTCGTTGCCGCTCTGAGCTCACTCTTTGCCGTTGCCTCCCCCCCCCCCCTCAACCGCGTGTCGATCCGTCCACATCAGGGCGGGAACAGAGGAGGAGCGGTGGAAGAAGCGCGCGAGTGTTTCGCAGACGCAAGAGCGACTGGCCGGGCTCACGTTTGACTTTTCGTTCAGCGACAGCAGCACCAGTGCACAGCCGCCAACACAGCAGCAGCAGCAGCAGCAACAACAACAACAACAACAACAACAACAACAACAACAACAACAACAACAACAACAACAACAACAACAACAACAACAACAACAACAACAACAACAACAACAACAACAACAACAACAACAACAACAACAACAACAACAACAACAACAACAACAACAACAACAACAACAACAACAACAACAACAACAACAACAACAACCTCTTGTGTCCTCGGTTGATCCACGCCTCCTTGCTGCTGCCACAGATCCGAACGCGCAACTCCCAACAGCATTGACGTGAGTGAGGATGGCGTGCTGGGCATCAACATGTACAGCCATGTTCAACAAATTTTATATATAAGTTGTCATCACCTGCTCTCCAACCTCCGTTTACATTTCTATACCACTCACCGTGTACTTCTTCGCATGCCTGCGCCATCTCGTTCCCTCGTCCAGGAAACTTGCCAACCTGGACGCCGCGCTCAGGGAGTCGGCGAGTGAAACAGAGGATGTCCAGGCGAAAGCGCAGCAGGTAATACCATCGCGCCTTCAATCCCCTCAACATGACGCACACACGCACACACACATGCGATAGTGTCCATCACCGTCTGCCATAACACCTCTATCCCTATTCCTTGATCACGACCCCCTTTCACGGCAATCGCTCGTGTGCAGGCGGAGGAGGAAGCGCGCCAACTCGTCCGTGCGCAATTTGGTGCCGACGTCGCTGAGCGCTGGCAGCGTGAGCGTGACGCAAGGCTGAAGGTTGAACGCATTCAGGCACCAGACATTGCCCCAGTTGACAGAAGGTACTGCTTTCAGTGTGCACGTGTGCGTGTGTGCATGTGCATGCGTGCGTGTGTGTGTGTGTGTGTGTGCATGTGCATTTTCTGCGTTTCCTCTTTGACTGCTTCTGCCTCATGTCGCCATGCGCTTCTAGCAGACTCACACGCTGCGCTTGTTTGTGTGTTGTTCAGGTTTGCGACGGAAGAGGAGCGTGTCAAGGCGGAGGCGAATGAAGACGACACGCGTGCAAGGCTGCAGGAACTGTCGTTTGATTTCTCATTCAACTGACAGCGACGTGCACTGGGTAGCGGTGTCATGATAGCTTGATGATGATTGACATGAAACCAGAGAGAACAAACATCTAGCTTGTTTGCTTGCTTGTTGTTGACTTGTCATTCTGTCACGTGTTCTTTGTTTGGTTAGGGGATTTGTAAAAGATCAGTGGTCGAAGCGATGTATTGAGCGAGCGACGTGTCTTTACTGTCATCAGGACACACCTGTCCTGCCTTTAACACTATGTGCACACGCACGCACTACAAAAACACTTCTCATTCACACTCAAGTTAAGTTTCGCACACACGCACACACATACATGCACACTCCGATGTAGCACACGGCAGTGCTTTTCTGAGAGCTCCACCGCACCACGACAGCAGCCGTCTTGCACACTGCAATGTGAATCCACCACAGCTGCGAACGAACACACACACACACACATACGCACACACACACAGATCTATGCAAACCAATCGATCCACCACCCATACACTGCAACATAGCCACACAAGGATGCACACTCAAGCACTCCTGCCACTGCACAGCATGCGACAGCAGCTAGAAGGTCCCGTCGTAGGCATACTCTGCCTTGTTGTGCATGACGAGCTTCCCGTCAACAAAGTAGAAACTGTCAGACTTGGTGGCATATGGCGTGGCAATCATGGCGTCGACTGGTGTTGACATGGTCGTGATTGGGGGAAGGGCAGGATGGCATGAGCAGAGGAACAAGAGAGTTGTCGACTGGATCAATGTGGGAGCTCAACGCACACGTGATGTCACCCCAGGTCCACAAGATACAAGAGGAGGAACACGGAGAAGAGCGACAGCACGAACAAGAACAACAACATAAACACGAACACACACAACCACAACCACAGCCACAACCACAACCACACACACACACACACACACACTTACTGTCAGCCTTAGGGAGCTTGGGCAGCTCGTAGATGTGTTCGCACGTGTTGGTGGACTCTGGAATGCAGAATCCAAAGTCAAAGTCGAAACTCTTGATCAGCCTGCAAGACAGCAGCGTCAGTGCAAGCAGTGCAGTGGGTGAGGTGGGACGTCGAATAACAGCTGTAATGCGACAAGATGCTTGCAGAGTTGAAAAGCACATCTCAGCACACACAGCACACACACACACACACACACACACACACACACACACACGCACGCACGCACACACACAGATGTACACATGTGCACACGTGTGTATGTACTCACTTGTTGCCGAAGAAGTGGCGCTCGATCATGCGGAAGTTGGGCACAGGCTTATCGCCAACACAGAACGTCACGCTGACAAGATGAACAGAGAACGAAGAGGTGTCGGTGAGCATGCAATCGCCAAGCAAGGGCGTGAGGGCAACGAGAATACACCGGACAGACAGAAGGACAGACAGACATGCAGACGCAGATGGGGACAGACAGGTAGGCACATACACTCATGCACATATGAGGCAAACCCGCTTACTGCCCTTCTCTGTGTTTGGATCTTACCTTGCGCCGACAGACTTGAGGTCGAAGAAGTCGGGTCGAAATTGGTATCGCACGAAGCGCCCGCTATTGTCCGCGCCAACCACAGCCATAGCTTCAGAACTAAGCAGGTACAGCGAAGCATAGAGAGTGAGCGAGCGAGACAGAAATTCACAGGGAGAGGCGAAGGGAGAGAGAGAGAGCGACAGCGTGTGTGTATGTGTGTATGTGTATGTGTGAGGGGAGAAAGCAGCCACGCAAATGTGTGATGTCGAGGCTTCCGACACAGACACAGATGTACACGCAAACGCAAACGCAAACGCGCGCGCACACACACACACACACACACGCACACGCACACTAACCCAAAGTGCACTTACTCGGGGATGCCAGGGCCGAGGTTGACCAGCACATTTCCACTTTCCATGTCTCGCAGCTTGAAGGCCACAAACTCAATGCCATAGATGTTGGCTGACGGCTCGCACAGGAACTCTGTAGGCCAAACAGCAACGCAACCACGTGCAGGAAGAGGCAGTGAGCACACGCGTGAGGTGCATTCAGGTGAGATGCGAGGGCAGGTCGACTGTGAGATTGTAAGGCAAAGGCTAGACGCCACGAACTTCGGACACAAGCCCCAGCCAAGTACGAGATGTAGGCGAGCAAGCGAGCAGCGTTGTCCGATGCACGGCGCTTTCTCACGTGTGGTTGGAGCTTGCAGGCCGAGGACTTCCTCAGGGGTAATCGTCTCCTTTGTGGCAAGGTTCCTCTCGCTCACGACGCGGCCGCGTGCGGCCTTCTTCAAGAAGCTCCCAACGCCCTTGGTTGCCATCTGCATGCACATCAAACACAACAGCAGCCTCCGACACGTTAGGTCAAACCAAACAAAACGAAATGCGTCTTATGCGACACGCTGTTGCTTGTAGGCCGCAAACGATCGCTCCGAGAGGACTGTGTGCGTGCTCTGTGTGTTTTATGTGCTTGCAGCTGGCTGCCACCGTGTGTGTGTGTGTGTGTGTGTGTGTGTGTGTGTGTGTGTGCAGCCACGAGTGTCCAAGCCTCTCCTTCGACAAACAACCAACCATCCATCCATCCGCAGCGCACACAACAATCAGCCACCAGCTCCAACTTGCCTCTTTTGCTGCTCTGCTGCCGTTTTTTCGGTTGTTGTTTGTTTTACCGCTCTCGTTTCGGAAAATGTATGGATATTTTCTACGAAAAAGCGCCGAACAATCATCGTGTCGTCTACGAAAGTGGTTGGGGCCAGAGCTGATTTGGTTGGGCAGTGAGTGGTGTTGGTGCAGTGGATGATGGTGGTGTTGCCGCACTCACACAAAGAGGGAGAGGGAGGGAGACACACATGCACACCACATGCACACCACATGCACACCACATGCACACCACATGCACCATCACAGGTACATCCGCACACACACACGCACCATCACAGGTACACCCGCACACACACACACACACACACACACACACAAGCGACTCTGCTCAAAGGTCTGTTTCGTTTGGATCTTCGTCATCTTCGTCGTCGTCCTCGCCTTCATCCTCTTGCGTCAAGCGGGCAATCAGCGACGCCTGGCGCCACGCGGGCTTGGCCTGTCCCTGTGCGCCCTCTGCCGCACTCATATCCGCGCCCGTCGCTCCCATCTTTGCCGCAGAGCCTGGCGACGCCTCCTGCGGGCTGACTGCTGCTCCTTCCTCAACCAGTACGCTCGTCCGCGCACTCGCCGCCTCTGGCGCTTGTTCCGCCAGAAACTCCGGAATGGGCTGCAGGAATACACGAACCAGTGAGTGAGTGAGTGAGTGAGTGAGTGAGTGAGTGAGTGAGTGAGTGAGTGAGTGAGTGGGTGAATGAGTGAGTGAGTGAGTGAGTGAGTGCTTGTGTGAGAGCGTGTGTGCGCGCGTGTGTGTGTGAGAGAGAGTGAGGGTGTGTGTGAGTGTTTGTGGGTGAGTGTGTGTGTGCGTGTTTGTGAGGGCGTGCAATGTGTGTCACAACGTGAAGCAACCCCAGGTGTGTGACACGCGATGCACAGCAAAGGTGCGCTACGTTCAAGTAAATAACACGTGCGCAAACACACCTCCTGTGGGGAAGACCGCTTCAAACTCGCTGCCGTCATGTCCGAAAACGCTGCGCCCTGCATGGAATCTGCATGCGCAACAACACACACACACACACACACACAACACCACACACAGCACCACACAGCACAACACAGCAACACACACAGCACCACACAGCACCACACACATAGACACACACATACACGCACACACGCCCCCGTCAGCAGCAGAGCACTGGGTGTTAGCAGTGTCGCGCAGGGATGTCTGCCAATCACCTCATACAACAAAACTGACCGAACGTAACCAGCCATGAACCCAGTATGGCTGACCTGATAGTGCGAGCTCCACCTCCATCGAGCTGCAGCGAGCGTGTGCACGTTCATCAACGTATCGCAAAACAGTACGCGCGCGCGTGGGTGCAATGAGTGAGCGCGGAAGAGCATGGTCACAAGGCATGTTGCAGGCTGCGCAACAGAGTCTTCAATCACGATATACGCGCACCTTGGGGATGTGCCGCGGTACTGCTGCTGCGCTTGCGACGCCGACGATGCGCCTGGTTTGTCCAGCGACACGGGTGGCACGGGTGATTGTGTTAGTGCGAACCAGTGGGTGAACACACGCACACAAGAAAACACACGCACGCACGCACACAAGAAAAAAAAACACACACACACACATGCACACACATGCACACACACACACATACACACGTGCACTCACCCACCCACTCACCCACCCACCCACACACACACACCCCACACACACACACACACACACACACACACACACACACACACACACACACACGTTTACCCACACACCCACACACCCACACACCCACACACACACACACACACACACACACACACACACACACACACACACACACCGCGCGTGCACTGACTTGTTTTTGCTGATCGTGTCATTGTGGGCGACGAAGTGATGGAGCGGACCCGCTGTGAAAGCAAAGGAGCGCCAGCACGTGACGTGGAGAAAAAGCAGACACAGTGAGAGCTGGCCATGGACAACAAGCACACATGTACAGCGCTGCCGGCAGCGCCAACACCCAAGTTGCGTGCATTTATGTGCATGTGCGTGCAATTACCGCCTGGTTTGCGAGAGGATCTGCCGAGCTGCGTGCACGTGTGCGACGGAGTAGCGTCGACAGTCCGCCTGGTGTCATGCCCAAAGCAAAGAATCGCGTCAGCACCGGCACCAAGAATGGCAGCGACGTGATGCACCCGAACAACGTGAGGTGCTGTGCAGCAGTAGCAGCAGTAACAAGAACAACAAGAACAAGAACAACAAGAACAAGAACAAGAGCAAGAACAAGAACAAGAACAAGAACAAGAACAAGAACAACAACAGCAACAACAACAACAACAACAAGAACAAGAACAACAACAACAACAACAAGAACAACAACATCGCACCCTTCTTGGTGGTTCGGATAAACTCCTCCTGCTGCTGCTGCTGCTGCAAAGGCGTGCCTGGGCCCGATACGCTCAACTGAAGATCGACCGACTCGCCCGTGCTCAAAAGACGCTCCTGTCGCTCAATCTCATTGTGCAGCGCCTGGTAGCGCGTGTGTGCGTGCGTGCGTGTGTGTGTGTGTGTTGGGGTGGGGGTGTACATGCAGTGAAAACACGGATGAGGTGACGCGTGCGTGCAAAGTGGTATGAGAATGCCTTGCGTGATTGTCACGTTCAACAAATCAGAACGTGCAGGCCACACGCGGGCGCATGTGTGCATTTCTTTCCACTCGAGTGCACGTTGTGCTCACCAGGTCGTGCTCCTCTCTGCTGGGCCGCCGCAGTGCCTTCACCACGTGAATCAGCGCCTTCACGTGACTGCGGTCGGAATCGCCCAACTCCTCAGAGGCTGCCGTCCTGTGTACACGCACGTGCGCAAAGATACATGAAGTTGTGGAATTGTGTTACCCTTTTACAATGGGTACAACTCACATATGCGTGCACATACGTGTACAATTACACGCATTTTCACACACACCCCCACGCACGCACACGCACACACACACACACACACACACACACACACACACACACACACACACACACACACACACACACACACACACACACACACACACACGCACGCACACACGCACACACACACACACACACACACACACACACACACACACACACACACACGCACGCACACACGCACACACGCACACACGCACACACGCACACACGCACGCACACACACACACACACACACACACACACACGCACACGCACACACACAAACCCGCTTGCAGGCACGCACTGTTCAAGGCCGGGGAGGTTTGCCTCCAGCAGGCGGTGGAACGCGGCGAGACAGCGCGGCGACGGCTGCAGATCAATGTCGAGCATGATTGGCGATGGCGGTGGGGACGTCAGGTGCAGCAGGCATTGCTGCCGACCGAACGGACGCGGTGGTGGTGATGGGTGGTGGTGGTGATGATGATGTGATGTGATGGGATGGGATGTGGATGTGAACATGTGGGGATGAGCACGTGAGGAGAGCAGTAATTGCATGGGCACATGTGTGCTCAAACTGCACGCACAAACGTACATTGCAGTAGCTGCTTCAGCCATTCGCAAAGACAATGCAAAGACACGAGCATGCGCCCACCTCCATTGCTTGAGCGTTTTCTCCGATAAATGCGTTTAGGTCCTTCATGTAGTCCTCCTTCTGCCCAAACGTAATGCCGTTCGCCATGTTTTGGATCACCTGTTCCAAGCGCAAAAGGTGACAGACACACGCCATGAGGGCAGGTGCCAATGCACAATGCCATGACTCAATGTTACAATTACAAAACTGTCCTCTGCAATACATGATTGGGCCTCTGCACCTTTGAGATGAGGATGAGGGTCCGGGCGGTGTTGTCCTCGGGATGATTCACTTGAAGGCCAAACAGCTGGCGCAATTGTCGCGCATACATACACATGCACACACGTGCAATAGTGAGCATTCACGTAGGTTTCTGGAACAATCGTGTCAGTGATTACAACAGCCATATTCACACACACACACACACACACACACACGCACACACACACACACACACACACACACACACACACACACACACACACACACACACACGCACGCACGCAGAAAACCCACACAGAAATCCACACGTCTCTCCCCCCCCCCTTCTCTCCCCAGGAGCAGGTCACTACCTGCGGCCCCATGATGGCTGGGCAGATGAGGCGGAGGAAGAAGAATCCGACAACGGCCGTGCGCGGAGCGGTGCCGCTGTCGGGGAAGCGCTCGGCGACCATCCGGTGCAGGTGGTGGAACACGAAGCGCAGCTCAGCAGGCACTGCAGCAGGATGACGGCATGGGTGGTGAGGGGGGGGGATTGTGGTATTGTGGCGATGAACGTGCCCATGTTGATGAACATGACGGTGATGATGAGTGCAGGTTGGCAATAACATGGACGTGTGCTTGTGGGATGCAGCGTGTATGAAAACACAGCACGGACACAGCAGGAGCACAGCACGCACCGCTGGTGATGGAGTGATCGATGCTACTCCACACGAGGTTGATTAGATTCAACAGCCGCTTGTAGTTGCTGTTGCGCTCCTTCTACTCACACACGTCGGGGATGGGTGGCAGCAGCGGTACACATCACAGCGCGCTCTGTGTGAGAAAAGGCGTATGCCGTCACGCAATGCGCGCGCACCTCCACACACACACACCTCCACACCTCCACACACCTCCACACCTCCACACACCTCCACACCTCCACACACACACACATACACACACACACACACACACATACACACACACACGTGTGCCATCCCTCTGCCCCCGTGCAGCACGCACCGTGACGTCGCTGGCTGTAATGCGCGTTGGATCGAGCTCGCAGCTCGCACGCGTGTCGTAGATGGTCTGGCGGAGGTACACATGTAAAGATGGAGGGGAGTGGGGTGGTCAAGGTCGTGGAAAAATATGCGGATGTTTACGTGCACCAGCCGTGATGAACTTGCATAGCGCTCACCCACATGCAGCCACGCAGCATGCATACGGTGTGCACACCTGTATGGGCATGGCAAGCGCCTGCTGGAGGTAGCGGCCCTCGTGGATGGTGATGATCTGCCGGCAGTCGAGCCGTCGGGAAGGTGTCGGACAGGGGCAGAGAAGACGAACATGTGAGCAACAAGAAATTGAGGGCAGACTTCGGAATGTCATACACACACACACACAGCACGTTCAAATGCATCCTAAGCAAGAGCGTGCGCGCGTGCGTGCGCCTCCTCGCCTTCATGAATTCATCAATGGCCTTGGTTGCGAGAGAGTTGCCGCGGAAGAGCGTGGTGGGATTCGTCGAGCCCTTATCGTCATAAACACACACAATAAACCAACATGTGCACACGCGTGAGCATGGGCCACAAGCGTTGCACGCAACGAATGCGGCTGAGCCAGAGACAGGAACTTTGGCAAAACCCAATGAACAACAAAGCACACACATGCACACACACATACGCTCACACACATGCTCGCACACGCTCACATGCTCACACACCTGGACTTCGGCCTGGCAGAGCGCAAGGAGAACGGCGGGGAGCGAGTCGTTGGCGTGGGCGACGCTCATCAACACCTGGCAGCGCATTATGGCAGTGGTAATCATAATCATGGCGGGGGTGATGTGAGCCGACAAAACGACTCGCGAGGCGGCTTCGAGAATGTGACATACGTTCGCACACACACGCACACACACACGCGCACACACACACACATGATGTTCTTCAACGGCATGTGTGCGCGGGTGTTGTACCTGGGCCATTGGGATGCGATCGCTCCCTTGGATGGAGAGATCCAGCGAGCGGAGTATCGATTGCAGATCCTGAAACGATACACACAAAGGCGACATTGTTTAATATCGCTGCAAAGCACATGCAAAGGACATCCTCCACCGCATTCACACATCATCATCATCATCATCATCATCATCATCATCATCATCATCATCATCATCATCATCATCATCATCATCATCTTGATCATTACGGACCTGGTTTCGCTCGTGGATAAGGTTGCGAAGGTACTGGTACTCGCGCTCCGGGCGGATGCACTCGTCCGTCGTTTGAACGGCAACACGGATGGAGCCCGCATCGCCTGTCGAGGAGGAGGAGGAGGCAGTGTGAGGAGGAAGAAAGACACACACGCACACGCACACGCACACGAACATGCACACGCACACACACACACACACACATACGAACATACACACATACACACACGCGCATACGCACATGCACACGCAAGCGCATACACGCGCACACGGACCGTCAGCGGAGGCGAGCGGGGCCCAGTGCTCCTTTGCAACGGAGGGGTCGGACTGGTCGGCGATGGTGAAGACGACGCGTCCAACAACATCGCCCTCGCGCACGCGCTCCTTTGTCTGCATCTCACCCGTGCACGCATGCATGCAGGCAACACAAGCAAGGGCAGTGAATGAACTTCATGACGTTGATGATGCTGGTGACGGATAAGCATGACCGTGCTGTTTGCCCGTGTACGTGTGCGCATATGTCGGCCCTGTGTGTGGTGGATGCATGCTGTCTGTGGCCACGCTCAAAAATAAACAACATGCACAAACGGAAGACACCGTGAGCAGCACATGCTGACTGCGCACCTTGGCATCCGCGTCAAGCGCTCGCGGTTTTCGCGGCGTGTCTGTCCGGCCAATGTTCGCAACCTGCACAGGGGCGGTAGAGCAGGGCGACGTTGACGTAGTTAGTTGTGAGATGGCGTGTATGGCAGCACCATCGCAATTCTGGTATCATGAACACGCTCACACACAGACACACAGACACACAGACACAGACACACACAAAACCACGCTGCGTCACCTTTCGCTTGAAAACGGCGGCGGACTGGCGAGCGACGGCCCCGAAGTTTCCCGAGCAGCGGTGGACCTCAACCACAACCTCCCGCGCCTGGATGGGGATGGCATCGATGGTGAAGGACTGGTTCCAGTAGGGCGCGTTGGTGTTGCTCTGGATGGACGTCATGGCCTGTCGCTCGTGGTCGAGGAGGACCAGCGCGAAGTAGTCCCCGCTCTTCGGCAGATCCTGATTTTGTATTTTGTTTGTTTGTTTGTTTGTGCAGGGACGGGAGGCAGGCAGGCGCGATGGGGAAAGCATGTTGCATCGTGTACATGCGATTGTGTGTGTGTGTGTGTGTGTGTGTGTGTGTGTGTGTGTGTGTGTGTGTGTATCGTGTGCGTAGTGGAATGCAGGTGTGAGGGTGTACGTGAGTGATGGGCAATGCACGTGCTGCCGTTGCGTGTGCAAACAAGACACGTGTTGTCGACGGTCAATGCAGGTTCAGCGAAGGTGCACACTGTCATCCAATGCACTGGCAATCACCACCTTGGCCTCGACAACGGTGACGCTGACAGATCGCACGAGGCGCATGGTTGCGTCGGTGTTGGGATCGGGGAAGCACACCTCCCGCAACGCCTCCATCCATTGCCTGCAAGCATGTGTACGATTCATGCATGTCATTCAGTCGTCGTCGTCGTTGTCGTCGCGTTTGTCGTTGTAGCAGATTCACAGGAACAGCAAGCGCAGACGTCCGCGCACACGCACGCACACACATCATCATCATCACACGTACACACATACACACTCAACCGTACACATGCTGACGCACCTGTATGTCTTCTGATCCGGGCACTCGATGTAGAGCGTCCGCGACCTTGACAGCACACGTGCACATGCAAACAGGTGAGGGTGGGATGGACATGTGGCGAACGAGTGGGAGGCACAGCATGTCGTCAAAGATCTATGCAATGCAAACAGAAGAACGAGGCACGGCCGCAGCCAGGTGGAGGGCACACCAAGGGGCGCACGTACTTTGTGATGACTTGGAAGACGTGACGGCGACCAAACAGCGACGTGTCCACGGGACGAACGGTCCGGTTGCCCAGCGGCAGCGTCGCCACAAACTTGGGATGTTGCGCCTGTGGGGTGTCAGCAGTTGCATGAATGAACGTGTGCAAGGTGAACAGATTCTCCTGCAGAGGCACAAACACTTGCACACGCTCATGTACGCAGAAATACAAGCACACATACGCACACGCACGCATACGTTCATGTACTCAGAGCACACACACACACACACACACACACACACACTCACACACACACGCACACACACACGCACACACACACACGTTCAGGATCAACACCATCAAAACGCAGCCATGCATTCACGGACGTTGTCGCTCTCGTATTGGTAGAGGCGGCGGTTGTGGGCGACGAGGATGAAGAGATAATCGCGAAACGGTCTGGGGCAAACGTAATGTCGTGGTGGGCATGGGCGTGAGCTGCCTGTTCGCATGAACAGTGCAGAGAGAAGTCTTTCGCACCCCCTAAGCACGAACACTCGCACACACACACACACACACACACACACACACACACACACACACACACACACACACACACACACACACAAAAGACACAACAGCACGCAAACACAACCCCCTCCCTGTGTGCGCACTTTGGAGACTCGAGGGCGGTTGCGGCGAGGTGCGACTTGAGAGTCGGGTTGAGGATGGAGGTGACGGGCGCATCCATATCATCGCCGCCATCAAACTGCCGGATTGCTTGCTCAATGTCAAGCCGCGTGTCTGTGGCCACGCATTGGTCGAGTGGGGGATGGGGAGTGGGAATGGGAAGGGAGGAGGAGAATGCGTGAGTGATGTGTTGGATGGGGAAGAGCAAGCAGATGTTGTTCAGAGCCGTACGGTGTTCACGAACACACAATAGATTCATGAAACACACCCACAAATTCACACACCTGCGTCCTGAATGAATGAGCAGAGGGCGACCTCAAGTCCAACCTCGCGCTGCAGCATGTCCCTGACGTGCAAACGTGCAGTTTCGGTTGGGAGGGAAGGGGGACATCATGAACTTTTGGGCGATGAAAGCGAACAATATGAACATTTGGGGAACCAACTCCCACCCCAACACACACACACACACACACACACACACACACACACACACACACACACACACACACACACACACACAGACGGGACCTCACCGCGTGCATCTGACGGCAGCGAGCATGGCAGCCTTCATCGCTGCCGCTCGCTCCTCCTCGCGCTGTTCCATCTCCTCGAGCACCCGCGGGAAATGCATCTTGTAGTGCTCCAGCTGTATCTGCTCGATATGGACGAGTGCAAGAAGAGAGGTGTCAGGAACTCCGAGCACACCAGCGAGTATTGTATGCGTGTCGTTTCTAGTCGTGCACACACACACACGCACAAACACACACATACACACAAACACACACACACACGCATTTTCTTGCCTATACCTTTGTGCATTTGTCCTCTTGTTCGTGCAGCGTCTGAGCAGCGAGCGCCGCCTTGTCCTCAGATGTCCTCAGGCGGCCGTTCAGCTGATGCATTGGTGGTGGCGGTGGTCGAGGTCGAGATTGCAGTGGGTAATGCATGAATGGGACTCGTTGGTGAGGTGTTGATAAACAAGCAGTGGGCAATAGACGCGTTCAGGTACGCATACACACATCCAAAGGCACACACACACACACGCATACACAAAACAGGACACACACACATACACACGCATACACACACCGAACATGCACGAAAACAAGTCACCTTTTGAAAGGTGGAGTCCTTTGTCATGTAATTCCCCTTTGCTCTCTCCAGTGCATCTTGACAGTCGTCCACTTCCTTCTGCTGCGTCGAGTGCTGGCTCTGGGCCTGCAGTGGTGATCGTGGATGGACAAACACGCGTATCAGCACATGTGCATCAGTGCAGAAGCATTCGGATGATGTGTGTCACTGTGTAACGTCACAGTGCAACAACGCAACGACAAAACCAAGCAGCGTGCGGGCGTTGGGCGCAAGAGACCTTCTTGAGTTCGGTGTAGGCGTCCTGCAAATGCTTCTGCTGCTTCAGTCCATCGGCGATGTGCTGTCAAAGCACAATGTGCACGGGCACGACCATCACCAACGACAACATTCGTCAAAAAGGAAAGCATGTGCATAACAATCAGGCAGGCGGATCCAGGATACGCACGCACATGCACGCACACGCACACGCATGCACACACACGCACATCTCTTGGGTGAACATTGTGCATGTATTCATGTGCTGATGGCACCACCTGCTTGCGTGCGAGTTCGATGTCTTTACTTGTGGAGGCGAGAGGATCAGTCACTCGCTGCCCAAGGTTTGATGCAAGTTGCTCCTGTATGGATGTAGCGAACGAGGCACGCAGCAATCACACAATGCAATGCAGTGAGTGTCCGAAACGCGTGCGCACACTTGCGTGTGTGTGTGTGTGCGTGTGTGAGTGCGTGTGTATGTGTATGTGTCTGTGTGTGTGCGTGCGTGTATGTGTATGTGTGTGTGTGTGTGTGTGTCTCTCTCTGTTTGTGTGTGCGGAGGGTACACTTACGTGCGAGCCTGCGGTGAAGAGGGCTTCTTCCAAAACGTTGTACCACGACGTGAGGATGGATCTAAGAGGATCAGGTCCAACGCAAGAACAAGGGTTGAGTCCGCGAACAATGGGCACCTGCAAACACTGCAAAGAAACAAGCACTCAAGGCCACGCACAAGCATATGGCATACAACCCCTCCCCTCCCCCATTTGCCATGTGCCATCTTCTCCTCCCCCCCCCACATGTACATGCAAGTGTGTGTGTGTGTGTGTGTGTGTGTGTGTGTGTGTGTGTGTGTGTGTGTGTGTGTGTGTGTGTGTGTGGCACACGTACGATGACGTGTTGGTGTATTGCTGGGATCGATCAAAGAGCTTGCGTTTGTCTTCAGGCACCTGCCCCAGGTACTGTGTCGCAAGCTTGTCTGCACGCATCCGCATGACAGCGGCAAAATGTCAGGAGGGTCAACAACGGTACCAACATGTCACGGCCATTGCAGTGCAGCACGCGACACGGTAGTTACGACAGGGCAGTGAGGGCAGGTCCTGCAACGTTGTGCACAGATGACATGCACGCTGCTTCCCCGTACTTAGGCTTTTGGCATATGTGGTTTCAATCTCCTGGCGCTTCTTGAAGAACGCAGCCATGTCCTTGATCAACCGTGCACCATCATCTCCAATCTGGCAGGCGGTGGAGAACCCATTCTACGTGCGCGTGCGCGCGCGCGCGTGTGTGTGTGTGTGTATGCATTCGAAACAAACAGGGTCGAGTGAGTACACCATGCATGCGGTAAAGCCTGGGATATGGTAAAGACGAGCGCCAGTGATTGCGATTGTCGTGATTGCAGTGACCAACACACACACACACACAACACACACACACACAACACACACACACACACAACACATACACACACAACACAACACAACACAACACAACACAACACAACACAACACAACACAACACAACACAACACAACACAACACACAACACACACAACACAACACACACAACACAACACACACAACACACACGACATCAACGGACCAGCAGCTCTGTGGAGAAGGACACGGTGCGAGCTGGTGGGTCCGTCTGCAGCGGCGATGTGGGCGATAGGCGCTGCATCTTTGGCTTAAACGCTCTGGCAATGGAAGCAAAGCGACTCTGGGTTCGCTTGGCAACACCCAGCGACTACTGCTTGCTTGCTTGCCTGCCTCCTACTCACACACACTCAACTTCAAGCACACACGCACTCGCTTGCTTGTCGTCAGTGCAAAGTCGATGTGGCTGGCTGCTGATGATTGTTTGTTGCTTTCCGTTGTGTCGTTTGTTTGTGTTTTTCCCCCCTCTCACAACAACAGCAACAACGCTGATGATCAACAGGATGCCCCACCACCACACCAACCAGCATCACAAGCACCAGCACCAGCAACACAAGCACAAGCAGCACCATGGTCGCGGCAAGGAGCAGCCGAAGCATGAAGGTGTGGACGCTGTGCTGCTGTTGTCGCTCTACTTTGCCACGGCTTCTGGCCGGCACCATGACCTGGTGAAGCCGTTTCCGCCCATGGGGCATCCCGCCCCTGGCACTGCAGCTGCCACGTCAACTCCACACGACCGGAAGCGGGACGCAGATGCGGCAGAGCAAAAGGACTTTGACACGCTACTGTCGACTTTGACCAACGCTACGAGCGTGCGCGACCACTGTGCAGCACCCTTTATCTCCTGGATGCGGCATCGTATCCGCCTGCAGCCTTGCCCTCCGTCGTCCCTGGTGCGTGTTCTCCAACACACAGGACAAGTTCACATGCGTTTTCATTGCTGCAGTGCGCCCCGAGCTCACCACCACTCCTGCCGCTGCTGTCGCTTGTGCGCTGGTTGTTCCCCACCTTTCACACATGGTCTTCTGCCACCCATCTTGCATTGTCTCATTCCACATGCACACACACACACATGCACACACACACACACACACACACAAATGCACGCACACACACACATGCACACACACACATGCACATGCACACACACACATGCATGCACAATGTGGCAGCCAGACCTCGTGGCGCAGCAACTGAAGCAAGTCAAAGCAAAGGTTGCCTGCTTTCACGTACAAAGATGCCCCTCTGGTAAGCATGTGACCCCGTATTGCTCGCCCTTGCGCCCATGCCCTGTGCACCGCTCATGCGTGTGCGTATGTGCTTGTGCGCGCAGATGCGTGGTTGCAACTGCAGCATGAGCATGGAACCACTGTTGCCCTCCACGGCACCAAGATGGAACACCTCTACTCCATCCTCAACCACGGCTTCTGCGGCGCCCTCAACAAGTTCGTCTCAGTGCTTAGTGTGTGCACATATGCGTGTGTGTAAGGCGACAGCAAGACTGCATGTCTCGCTCCTGACAGCGCGATTCCATCACATGTTTGAAGCACGCTGCAAGCTCATTTGTCCCTTACGAACACACCCGCTCTCATCGCTTCCTACCATCACCAGGACAGCGCTGTTTGGGCCCGGCACCTACTGTGCCACTGACATGTCCGTGTGCCAGATGTTCTCGCCCACCAGCAAGGTTCCGCCCGGCTTGGCTCCGCACGTGGGATCGCGCCTTTCGTGCATATGCGTGTGTGAGACCATCAACCACCCATCCGTGATGGTTAGTGCTTGTGCATGCATGTATGTGTACGTGTGCATGCATGTACATTGGGCGTGGGTCTGTGTGCGTGGGGTGGGTGCATCTGTTAAGCCTGTGAACCCGCATGCATGCGCGTGACATTGGGTCTGCTTCACTGTGTATCTTCACGCTTTATTCCCCATCTCAATGTCAAACAACCTGTCACCTTCCCATCTGTCAACAGCGCGGCGGCGCGTGGGTCAAGAGCGACACGGGCGACACTGTCCAAGTCCCGCCATCATGTGTGTGTGTGTGTGTGTGTGTGCGTGCGTGCGTGTGTGTGTGTGTGTGTGTGCGTGCGTGCGTGTGTGTGTGTGTGTGTGTGTGTGTGTGTGTGTGTGTGTGTGAGCTCACATGAGTATGAGTGTCTCACTCATGAGCACTCCCCCGCCCCCGCCACACGTCTACCCACACCAGTTCCACCCA